TCAAGATAGAAATATCCTGATAAGCATATGTATTAATAATCTTTTACTTTACTATAATTAAGCAATCGAAGGAAGTATTATTCACAAATATATTATTCAATTTATGAATATTCTTTTTAGTTTCTAAAGTACTAACTAATATTAGTTCATAGAAAACTTTTAAATTATAAAATCATATATAAAATTTAAGCTTGTAACAAAAATATTTTTTTAAAAGTATTTTGATTTTGTGAAAGTATGGTTAGACTAATTTAGGCAGAAAAAGCGTTTTTAATTAAAAAAGTAATTGCAACCAAAGAAGCAAAGAAGGTATTAATCAAATCTAATCATAAAAAAATTCTTCTATTATTATAAATCTGAAAGTTAAAATGATTTAATGAAGATTGAATGCCTTATCAAATAAGATTAAAATCATTTCCTTATTCAGAATGTAGAAAATATGTTTTTATGTTAGAATGCTATAAAAAAAATAAAATTTCCTTTAAAATGAGAAAAACTAATATAATATCTAGCTAAATTAATTTTTATATGTAGTCTGGATAGATTTTAAATAGTAAATTAAAAGTTTTATAAGAGCTTAAAAATGAAATACTTGTTGAAAAGATTAATCTCAAAAACAAATTTGCCTTGCATAGTTTTTTCAAAAAATATTTATAAAAATAATTGAGAGCAATTAATTAGACTGTTATTATTCCATTATTCAGGCCTATCTTATTTGGCAATATTTTTTATTAAATTGAAATTTTTCAACAAAAAAGTGTTTTCACAATAGAGTATTAAATTTAAAATTTTAGAGTTATTAAAGTATTTATTTATTAAATTGACATGATTTGAATAGAAATTTGATTGAGTAGTGTGCGCATTTAAAATAATAATTATAACATAATTAATTCATATTTTATTTATTTAAATCTTGTTTCTATTATAAAGGTATTACAAAATAAATTTAATATGATAAGAAACTTCCTGTCATATTGTTAACCTATTTTTATATTATAGGCGCTATAATTTTCAGTGTAATTTATTGTGCAAAAGAATTAATTTTTTTATCTGTATCTTTCAAGTAATAATTAAAAAGAAGATTTATGAAGAAAAGGAAATATCAAATAAACATTAGAGAGAAAAAATTGAATAAATTGTAACCACTATCAAAAAATCACAATTTATATTTTAATAAAAAGTATACTTCAACCAAAATTTAGAAAGATTAATTTCAGGATAAAAATTTAATTTCTAAAATTTAAATTTTTTACAAAATATATAAAACTTGATTTCTTTTTTTTGAAATCGTTTATAAAATCCAGTTATTATTTTAGTAAACTGAAAACAAATTTGAATAAATAGGACTCTTTTATTAATCTATTTTGACTCAAACGTTGAATAAAAAAACATTTCTGAAAAACCTAATTTTAAAATGTAATTAATTAAAATAGACTTAAATGGGATTATTTTATAAAGTGTCGTCTATGTTTTTATAATTTCTTATTATAGTTTTCATACATTTATATTTCGGAGAATATGTTAATTTATATGATTTGATTTAACTAAAGCTAATAAGGATGGATATAAAAATACTCTAATAAATCAAAACTATTAACTTTTTATAATATTTTTTTGTTTTGTTTTTACTTCAAAGTAATTTATAGCAACGTTATTTAGAAGAATTCCCCGGATTAAATATAAAGAGAAAGAAAAAATTTCCTTTAGAAAAGCTGAAAAAGCGTCAATTTATTTCAAAAAATCGATATAATTTAAACAAAAATTGTTACTTGCATATTATGACCAATTTATGTATGGGTAGATTACAATATTATTGATAGATTAAGTTGCTTTCGATTAAATGTATTTATCGTTCAAATGTTGTTTTTTCTTTTAACAAAAAAAAAAATTATAAATAAATTCTATTATTATTTTATTAACTTGTTTAATAAATATTATTTTAATAAACTTTTTCAAGTAGGAGGAATTTAGCGATAAACTGCTTTTCAATTAAAATTTTATCAAAAATAAAATGATTATGATCACTTTAAATTGAATTATTTATTTGAATGTATATTCATAAATAAAAATATGAAACAAAAAAATCATTCTGAATCAATAAACTAAAACTGTAGTAATGATTGTAATTAATTAATAAATAATATTAGTATTAAAAAGTGTGATTGAAAAGATGAAGAATTTAAATAAATTCATGGTTCTTTTTTAATAAAATTTGATTATAAAATTTACCTGTTTTCATGATAGATTGAATGAATGCATGAAAAATTAAACATGAAAATAAATATATGAATTCATAAATTTAGTTTTTGATATTTATAATATAAAATATGATAGAAATTCAATTTTTAAAATATAATATTATGTTAAATGTCCTTTATTAATTTTTATAAATTTATTCTATTATTAGAATTAGCATTTTAGCTATAATTTTATTCCTAATATTTATAATAATCTTTGAAAAATAAGTATTATCAATATTCAAAGATAGTTTGTTGAATATTTATTTACATTATATTTTTTTTATATTTAATAAGTAGAAGTGATAAATAAACTAGCATTTTTATCATAATTTATATTCATTATATTTATCATTTTTATTTTATGTATTCTAAAAATAATTTTATATAACTTGCTTGCTTACAAAAGCAGAAAGAAAGTTTTCTCCTTAGAATAAAAGTTAGTCTTAGCTTTATTTTAGTTGAAAAACTGTAATTAAATTTACTCTATCTATTGATTTTAAAAATATTAGTCCTATTTCTTTCATCAAAAAAAGATAAAATGACATAACTACGTCAATTATAAATAAATGATAAATTAACGAGAGGTACGTATAGTGATATCCTCAATTTTTAATCATTTCACTAAAAAAAAGCAAGTAAGATTAAAATAGCAAATGAAAAACATTGAATTTTTAATTTTCCCCAAATCTAAACATAATTAAAAACTACAAAATTTTGTTAAAATTGAATACAATATTTTAAATATTTTTATTAGATTTTTAAATTGTTTGGATTATCTTCTTTCTTTCTTTCTTACTTTCTATTTATAAATAAAATATTTTATGAATTTTTAAGGTAAAATTCTTTCTTTTTTATAGTTTTATCATACTAATTTGATGAAATTTGGATGATATCCTATAGAGAAAAATATCTAAACCATGGAAAAATTGCTATAAAATGATAATTTAAAATCCCATCTTAAGATATGAATTGCTTTTTACAATTAGTTGCTTAAAAAATTTTTTATTTTGAACAAATAAAAGTTAATATCTTCCTCCTTTCTGCTGTTATAATTTGTAACTTTAAGATATCGATGGGTAAATAAATAAATATTTTTGATTGGAAAATATAATATTTAAGACTAATTAAATCAACTCTAAACAATTACCTGACTTTGATTGAGATCTAACCTTTTTTTAATTAAACATTTTTTAAATTTTACATTTTTTCTTTAACAATCAATTTTTTCTATTTGTCTCTCATTCATTCATCCACAGATTTCTTAACAGAAGTTATTTTTAGTATTCCTTGTTAATATATTTTCAAAAACTAATTGAGACAAAGTATTTCTGTAAAATTTTTAACTAACATGAACTAGTTCAAAGTGTGATTATAACTCTTATTTTTCTTTTATATTGATTAGTTTTGTATTTGAAAGCAGTGATTATATGGAAAAGAAAGAAATTACTATCATTTATAACTACAAAATTTAAAAAAGAAATAAGCGACGATTAATAGTTTCATTTTTTACTTTATAAAGAGATTTGTTCCCCCCCCCCCCCCCCTCCCCCCCCTTCTTCATTACAATCTATCTGATTATAATAATCTTTATGCTTATTTCTAACTTGTTTTTCTTTTAAAATAACCTCGAAACAAGAATTCAAAATATAGCCATTCTATTTATTTTTATTGAATATCTATAAAAAGCAGATACTGTGAAAATCAATCAAATAAAAAAGTGGTGCTAAAGCAAATATTTATTAAAAAACTTTTATAGACAAATTTGTTAAAAATAAAATACAGATGCAAGATAGATGCAGGAAAAGCTTATGTTAAAACTAAAATATTTTTTATAAGGCTTTTTATTTCCTAAATTTTGTTTTATTTTTCAATTCAGTTTGCTTTAGAAGGTTGCAGCTTATTTATTAATTATGTCTAGAAAAATTTAAGAAACTTTAGAAATAAATAAATAAATAAGGTTATCAACTATTCTTTTATTTTAAAATAATCTAAGTAAGGAATTCATTCAGAGCCTTCTATTTAATTAGAATATTAATAGATCTTCAAATTTATTTCAAAAGCTGTTGGTTGGACTCTAATCCGGGGTTAAGGACTAATCCGTTTTAAATCTTTAGATGATTTCAAAAAATTTAAAATAAATTAATTAATAATAAAAAATTACATATCAAATAAATTAAATCAAAAAATAATTAAAAATGAAAGCCGTCATCTTATTAGCAATTATTGCTTTGACTACTGTTCATGCTGCTACTAGTGTTATTACTGCTCCCTCTTGGGCCAGCTCATCTGCTACTACAACTTTCAATACTTGTGTTGGTGCTTTGACGGTACCCACTTGTAGTACTGGTACTGCCACTTGTCCTACTGCTTGGTCTACTTATACCAGTTGCCTTGCTTGCACATCAAACAATTCTAGTTACAGTGCCTATTTAACTTGTGTTACAGGTTGTGCTACAGCTTTTACTGGTGATGGCTCTGTTACCGGTGATAGCAGTGCTGCCCCTTTTGCTAATGGAATAACTGCTTGCGTTAAAGCTCTTAATGGTTCTCTTTTGGCCTTATCAGCTTTCTTCTTGGCTGTTTTCGCTTTACTCTTCTGATTTTTAAATTTAATACAACTCAATAAAATAAATTATTTTGTAAATATTCGAATGTATATCAATCACGTTTGACTATGTATTTACATTTAATTTATTATCATCCAATATTTTTCTTCAATCAAAATATTATCTATCTATCTTACTTACTTACTTATATTTTTAGACTTTATTCATTTAGAAAGTATTAAAAAAATAAAATGATCAAATTTTTTTCAAAGTTGATAATAATAAATAGTTAATCTAAATAAATAAATGTGTTAGATAAATCTTAATTTTCATTTGCACTTTTCTTTTATTCAAAAAAAGTACCAATTAAAGTGATAATTAATTTAAGTTTTTAGTACTTTTTCCATAAACTGAAAAGTGAATAAATAAATATATTTTTCATATAAATCAAGATTTACTAAATATTTATTTAAATAAAGATAATTAATTGTTTTTATCGAAAAATAAATTGATTATAAAACGATAGAATTCACTTAAAAATTTCAATAGAGAAAAATTTTTCTTGGAAATATTTTTAAAAACTACTGCCTAAATTTCTGAAATTAGAGAGAATATTTTAAAAATGCATGCCAATTGTATTTTTTTTTGAAATATAAAAATAAAAATATATCATTGAAGATTTTTTATAATTTAAAATAATCATTTTTTCTTTAAAAAAACCAGAAATAAATCTTACAAATAATAATTATAAATTTATCTATGACTGTGTATAATTTCATATTAATCTATTTATTTAAAATAAAGCTTTTTTAAATTATCAATAGAAATCTAATAAGTAGCTTTACAAACATTTTATATGTATTTTATTTAAATGCTTTTCAGTTTCTTATGATGTATCTGCAAATCTTATACTTTTAAATAAAGTATTTATTTTTATGAGCTAAAATAATAACTTTATAAAAATAATTAATTAATCAATAAATAATTAAAAGAACTAAAAGAAAAAACAAGAGATTTTAAAATTATATACTGTTAGAAATAATAAGTAATTTATAAATTAAACTAATAGATTTAGTAATCTTATAAATTTTACAATTTTTCAAAATTTAAATAAATCAATAGAAATAAAATCAATATCTTAATTTAAAAAATTATATAAAATATTTAATCAAAAATAAATCAAGAATGGTTTATGATATTAATTTTTGTCGTTTGATGAAACATAATTTTGAGGATAAATAAGAAATGATTCAAACTTTTGAAAATATTTTTCATTTTTCCAATTTTATATTTTATTATAAATTAACTCAATTTTTGTTGGAGGGAGTGGAGTTACTTGTAAAATGAAGTTATTTTACAAAGTCTTATTAATTTAATATAATATAATAAATATTAATTTAACAAAAAATAAATAAAATAATATATTTTATATAGCTTTTAGCTTAATAGAATTATATAAAGAAATGATATATTTGTTATCCAATTTATTTTATTATGAATTATACAAATTTAAAATAGATATTGAAGGTAAAGAAAAATAAAAGAAATAATCATTATTAGATAATAATATTATCAACTTTTATTTAGAGTAAATCATAAATTCTTGTAAAGCAAAGTACATCAATCAACACGTTGGTAGGTTAACATTTTTTCTATAACTTTGATAAAAATTTACAAGTTGACATAAAGATAAAAATAGAGAAAACAATAAATAGAATTGATAATATTTACTAGATTATTTAATAATAAATGAGTCAAGATAAAGAATATAATGAAATTATTAATTTAAAAAAGTAAAAATGTATTCAGTTTAAAATTATAAAAATAAAAAAGTTATTTATTTGTCTTGTTTATAGAGGAAATATTCTAAATGAATTTAAATTTTATATTAAATATTTAAACGGATTAATTTAAAAGATATTTAAGTAAGTTATATTTTAGATAAATTATAATAAGAGTTCAATAATAGATAATAATAAAAAAAAAATTAATCATAGTGATCATTAATAAAAACAAATCTTAAATTTAAATACTCTAAATCCTTATTAATTAAGGGCATAATCTTTGAAGTCTATTCTGAGACCCATAATTAAGTAAATACTTTTAAATTTACTTTTTGAAAAAATTTACTTTAATATGAGACATAATTTTCTTACTCTACTAAGTTTTTTTTCAAAATATAAATTTATAAAATTATTATAAAACTATTAAATTTCATTAAAATTATTGACAAATCCAAGTGTACAAAAAACTAATCAATTTATTTCTCATTCACTTTTTCTATTCTATCATAACCAATAAAATATCCTCATATACTTAAAAATAATTTATTTAATTACTAATCTCTTTTGTTCATAACATTTAATTCATATTAATTAATTTTAAGAAGAAAATTCACAAAAAACTAAAGATCTTATCACATATTTTTATTTGAAACAAAATCAAATTTTTTATTTTAATTTTAAAATGGATGAAAAAATCGATAGAATCAGGGAAATTACATAATTAAATCATTATAAAATACAATATAAGATATAGCAGGATATTATGTTTTTGAGTTTTTTTTGAGCCATTCATAGTTTTCTATTAAGTTGATAAAGATAGTAATAAAAAATAGAATTGAAACATTAATTTATTTCTCTATTTATTTAGCTAAAATCGTTAAATAATTTAAAAGAATTTCTAAAATTAGCTCAAAGAAAAATTTTATGAAATTAGTTTTAAAGAAAATATGAATTTATTTTTTGTATTATTTTATATTATTTAATTTGTATTATATTTTATTGTACTCGTAAATCAAAATTTACTCATTTAAAATGATATATGATGGTAGAACTAGCAATTAGATTAGTAATTTAAAGTTTTTTTAAACTAAATTTTAAAGGGAAAATAAAAATTTTAGGAGGAGAATGTTTTGATTATTTAATAATATTCTATTTTAGAAATTAATTTTATTTTTGTTGATTAAATTTTAATTTGACATCAAGTTATTGAATGAGTTAATCCATTGCAAACTATTATGTTTTCTAAATATTCAAAAGCCATTCTAAAATTCATTGCTATAAAATAACAAATTTTCTTTTTTCATCATTAAAGGATTTAAAAATATGCTTAAATAATTCGATTTTAAATAACATTAAATTATAATATTTAATAATAATTCTAAAAATATGCTTAAAATTTGTTTGTTCTATTAAATAAAAAAATATTTTTTTAGTAAAAAATAACATAAAAAGTTTATTTATTTTATTGAAAAAAATTGGATTTAGTAAACAAAAAAAACATATTTTACTAAATATTATAACTATTTTTGAAAAATATTTTAATTTAATAAGAATATAAAATAAAATAAATAAACATTTTATCCCTTAAAATAAAGTAATGATTTAGCTATTATTATTTCATTATTAGCTTGAAAGTTATTATAGAGCTTCTTTCATTTCATTAATATTTTTTTAAAGACCTCTATCGATTGCTTCTTCTAAAATATCTTGATCTGTCTTCGAGAAAAGTGTTTCTTATTATTACTCATAGTATGTCATAGTGTGTTGAACAATCCAGAGACTAAACCATTGTCTTTCTTTTCTCTCTTTTTTCACAAAATATTCCCTAGTATATTTAGAATTCTCTTTAATTTCGCTTTTAAGCTTTTCGATTTCATTTTGGAGCTTTTCCAAATGAGGTTTAATCTCTAAGAATTTTAAGCTCATAAGGATTTTATGCAATTCCTATTTACTTTTAGCAAATTCTTCATCAGTAACGGGAATTCCATATTGTTCTTTGTTTTTTATTATTTTCTTGTAAGGGCACCTGTAATCAATAACTTCTCCTTTTATCTAATATTTATCTGCAATTTCTTTCAGGTATTTAATTTTTTCTTCAAGTTCGTCTTAGTCAAGTTTGTTCCATTTTGTTGCTATAATTACCGAGGATTTAAATATTTCTTTTCCTAGTGCAGCTTACATATAGATGAGACTTCTCTCTATTTAAGTTACTGGAGAAGCATCTAATCCCTAAACGAAGTACAATGTGTGAATATCACTACAAATCTTAGAAATTTGTCTCAAGAAATGCTCATAAATTTGAGTTACAATGTCACTATCAGTCAGCTTTAAAGAAGAATCACCTAATCCTATAGTATTTAAGATTATTCCTTAATTGAGTCCAATTAGCTCAGTACATCTATCTATAATTTATAAACTCAAATTAATATGTGCTAATTTTATTTCCATCACCTATTTTTATTCTGTGAGAGTTAAGAAGATTTTAATCTAAACTCCAAATAAAAGTATCCTTCCCTTACTAAGAGTTCCCTATAGCAATACTTAGATTTTCTATATGAGTCATCATTGAAATTATTCTCTCTGTGTTTTTGTATATCCATTTCTTTGTCGTGTGGTAATCTTTTGGAAAAAGAATTAAACTATTTTAGAGGATCCATAATTTTATTTATTTAATTATTTTTTTATTAAAATTTTATTATTCTCTTTGAAATTTCTCTCTACATTTCTATTCTTCTTCCCAATAAATATGTTTAGGAAGAAACAATGTAAAAAAGTTATATAAAAATCAAATATTTCCCAAAATTCAAAATTATTGGTTAATAAAAAAATGAAGCAATAAGACCACAATAATTTCTGTTTTATGCAATTATTAAGTTTATAAATAAATATTTTATATAAAATGTTTTAAAAATGGCACAATAGAAACAATCAATTAAAATGTAATTTTTAAATTTAATTAAAGGGATAGTTAATAATTTTTGGAAAAATTCACCTTAATTAGAGATATTATTTATTTTCTTTTATTTCAAAACAAAAATTTGTAAAATTATTATTAAATTTCATTAAAATGATTGATAAACATAAAATTATTCATTTATTTTTATATGATATTTAGATTATCTGTTTGATAAATTTTAAATGTTTAATTTACTATTTTTGATTTGATTTAAAAACTAATTTTGCTTTAACGTACACACTGAGGAAATAATATTTTATGTATTTTATTAAAAGCTAAATAACGAACTAATAAAACATAAAAATTTATATTTTGATAGATTTTAATCTAGAAAACTAGGATAAACTTTATATCTTATTTTTAAATAATTAAATCAAAATTTATTTTTAGGTGCACTAGTATTTTGTATTATAATTAACTTCATAAAAAAAATTATCTAATTATGAGACAATTAAAAAAGTTTACTTACCGTAAAACCCCCATATTAAGGGAAACGAACGTGTTGCGAGGTAAGAGGTAAGAGTCTTAAAAAAAATCAATATTAAAATAAATGAGAATCCTATTATTTTATTAATATTTTTTTATCTTAAGGTAACCATAAATATTATTTTAAAGGCATTTAGTAAATTGAATTTGAAAATTTTTCAATGAAAAGATGGATGAATATAATTGATATATTCTTTGTGTATCGCTTTAATTTTTGAAACTTCGTATGATTAATATATTTAATATTATTAAAATTAATTCAGTTTTTTTAAATTTTAAAATAAAAAGAAAATAATTTGCTTCAAAACTACTATTAAAGATTGAAACTTTTCAAATATTAATTATGTCAAATAAATTAAAGATAAAATTAAAATAAATTATTTTTAAATAAAAATATGTATGTGTTGATTGATGAAATTTTAAAAGTTTAAGATATAAAACGAGTTAGAATTGTATGATTTATACTAGATTAAATTGAATTTAATTTAATTTTATTAAATTTCATCAACAAAAAGGACTATAAATTATTATAACTAATTTAATATGAAAGAATATTCTGTTTAGATAATTTTAGCTTTAAAAGAAATTAATGAAAATTTAAAAGAAAAAAATTAATAATTTTTCTTTTTTGATTTTACAAAAACAAATAATAATAATAAATTTAGTTATTAACTTGCCTCTATTTTTCTATTTAAGTAATCTTAAATAATTAATGTAAATTTTAATGAGTAATAAATTGGCCATTCCATATTTCAAATACAATAAATTAATTTAGAATGAAGTGTAAACATCAAATAATTATTTGGCTAAAATAAATTGAATTACTAAATAACTGAATCAGTTTAGCTTTAAATTGGACATAAGATTAATTTTATGTTTATAAATTATTATTTTTACAGAAAACGTTTTAAGATAAATTTGGCAATCTTTATATAAATTTTGCATTGAAAAAATATCTATTTGATTACATAGAAATCAATAAATGTTTACTTTTCTTTTGATGTAATTTTTAATTTAATCATTTAATTTCCTTAATTTTTTCTAGTTTTATAAAAAGTTTTTTCTTATCAATTTTTATTAACATACAATTTTATATAAAAACTTTATCTTTTTTATTTCTTTTCTGAACTATTTTCTAAAAATTAAGGTATAAAATCGACAATTAAATATTATCGAAAGCAAATTTTTCAATTTTAAATAAAAAGATACTTTCATTTTCTCAATTTTTACTTTTTCTCAAGATATAAATATCCCGATAAGCATATTTATTAATAATCTTTTATTTTACTATAGAAGTATTATTCATAAATATACTATTCAATTTTTGAATATTCTTTTTAGTTTCTGAAGTACTAACATTAATTCATAGAAAACTTTTAAATTATAAAATCATATTTAAAATTTAAGTCTGTAACAAAAATATCTTTCAAAAAGTATTTCGATTTTGTGAAAGTAAGGTTAGACTAATTAAGGCTAAAAAAGTGTTATTAATTAAAAGGTAATTGAGACCAAAGAATATACTAATCAAATCTGATCATAAAAAAAATCCTTCTATAACTATAAATTAGAAAGTAAAAATAATTTAATGAAGATTGAATGCCTTATCAAATAAGATTAAAATCATTTCCTTATTCATGTTGAAAATGTATTTTTATGTTTGAATGTTATAAAAAAAATAAAATTGTCTTTAAAATGAGAAAAACTAATATAATATCGAGCTAAATTAATTAATTTTTTTTATGTAGTCTGGATAGATTTCAAATATTAAATTAAAAGTTTCATAAGAGCTTGAAAATGAAATCCTTGTAGAAAAGAGTATTTAATCTTAAAAACAAATATGCCATGCATAGTATTACCAAAAAGTATTTATAAAAATAATTGAGAGCAATTAGACTGTTATTACTCCAATATTCAGGCCTATCTTATTTGGCAATATTTTTTATTAAATTGAAAAATGCAACAAGAAAGCATTTTCACAATAGAGTTTTAAATATAAATTTTTGGAGTAATTAAAGTATTTATTTATTAAATTGACATGATAAAAATAGAAATTTTATTGAGTTGTGCATTTAAAATAATAATTATAACAAATTTAATTCATATTTTATTTATTTTAATCTTTGTTTCTATAATAAAGATATTACAAAATAAATTTAATATGATAAGAAACTTCCTGCCATATTGTTAACCTTTTTTTATGTTAATAGGTGCTATAATTTTCAGTGCAATTTATTGTGAATTGAATTAATTTTTTTCTCCGTATCTTTCTAGTAATAATTATATAGAATATTTATGAAGAGAAAGAAAAAATATCAAATCATCTTTAGAGAAAAAAAATTGAATAACTTGTAACCACTACCAAAAAATCACAATTTATCTTTTTGTAAAAAATTATATTTCGAGCAAAATATAGAAAGATTAATTAATTTCAGGATAAAAATTTAATTTCGAAAATTTATATTTATTTTTCCAATAAAATTAATTACAACTTGATCTCTTTTTGAAATTGTTTTTAAATCCAGTTTTCATTTTAGTAAACTGTAAACCAATCTGAATGAAAAGGACTCATTTATTAATCGATTTTGACTCAAACATTGAAGAAAAAATACATTTTTGAAAAGCCTAATTTTAACATGTAATTAATTAAAATAAGCTTAGATGGGATTATTTTATAAAGCGTCTATGTTTCTACATTTTCTAATTTTAATTTTCATACAATTATATTTCGAAGAACATATTAATTTATATTATTTGATTTAATTAATGCTAATAAGGATATAAAAAACTCTAATATATCATAACTATTAATTTTTTATAATATTTTTTTGTTTGTTTTTACTTCATTTAAGGTAATAGCCACATTATCTCGAAGAATTTCCTGAATTAAATTATTTTTCACATTCCTTCATTTTATCAATATAAAGAAAAAGAAAAAAGTTACTTTACAAAAGCTGATAAAGTGTCAATTTATATCTAAAAATCGATTTAATTAGAATAAAAATTGTTACTTGCATATCATGACCACTTTATGGTTAATTTACAAGATTATTAAAAGATTAGGTTACTTTAGATTAAATTTAATTATTGTACAAATGTCTTTTTCTTTTAACAAGAATTTTGTAATCTTTATTATATTTTGAGTAAATTGTAACTAAGAAAATGAGTATTTTAATTACTTTTATTAATAAAATATGTTCTATTCTATAAAAAAAATTTATAAATAAATTCTATTATTATTTTATTTATTTTTTTAATAAAGATTATTTTAGTAGACTTTTCAAGTTGGAGGAGTTAAGCGATAAACTGATTTTCAACTAAAATTGTATCAAAAATAAAATGATTATCATCTCTTTATATTTATTGAATTGTTTATTTGAATGTATATTCATAAATAAAGATATGAAACGAATCATATTGGATCAATAAATTAAAACTTTAGTGATGATTATTATTAATAAATAAATATTAAAATTTGATGAAAAAAGTGTGATTGGCAAGATGACGAATTAAATAAATTCATGTTTGTTTTTTAATAAATTTTGATAATAAAATTTACCTGTTTTGAGGAATGATTGAAAGCATGAAAAATTAAACATAAAAATATGAATACATAAATTTAGTTTTTCATTTTTATAATGTAAAATATGAAAGAAATTCAATTTTTAGATATAATATTAGTTTGTTTTGATGTCCTTTGTTCATTTTTATAAATTTATTCAATTATAAGAATTATTTATTATTGCTATAATTTTATTTATTCCTTTTTATATACTAATTTTCTAATAGAAATATTAATAATACTCAAAAACAGTTAGTTACTTTCTTTTTAATTATTTAAATTTATTTAAATTTTTATTATATTTAATAAATAGAAATGGTAAATAAACTAGCATTTTTATCATAATTTATATTCCTTCTATTTATTATTTCTATTTTATGCATTCTAAAAATAATTTTATACAACTTGCTTGCAAAAGCAGTAAGAAAATTTTCTCCTTTGAATAAAAGTTAGGCTTAACTTTATTTTAAATGAAAAACAGTAATTAAATTCACTCTATCTATTCAATTAAAAATAATTGCACTTTCTCTTTATTCAAAAAAACATAAAACCTCTTAACTACCTCAATTCTATATATATACAAAATATTAATTAAAGAGAAGTATAGTATATCCTAAATTTTTAATCATTTCAATAATAGAAACAAGTAAGATTAATATAGAGAATGATAAATATTGAATTTCTAATTTTCCCCAAATCTAAATATAATTAAAAACCACAACGTTTCCTTAAAATTGAATATAATATTTTGAACATTTACACTCGATAATAATATTGTTTGGATTATCTTCTTTCTTTCTTTCTTTCTTTCTTCTTTCTATATACAAATTTAATTTTTATCAAATTGTAAGGTAAAATTCTTTGCTTTTTAAAAGTTTTAAGATACTAATTTGAAGAAGTTTGAATTATATCCTAAATAAATCCATATAAAATATTTTTAAACCTATGGAAAAATTGCTACAAAATAATAATTTAAAATCCCATCTTAAGATATGAATTGCTTTTTTCAATTGGTTTTGTAAAAAATTATTTATTTTGGAAAAAGGAGACTAAACAAACAAAAATTAAAATCCTCCTCTTTTCTACCTTTGTAATTTGTAACTTTAAAATATCAATGGGTAAATAAATAAATTTATTTGATTGGAATATAGATATATTTAAGATTAATTAAATCAACTCTAAGCAATTACCTGATTTCAATTGAGATCAAAGCTTTTATTAATTAAAAATTTTTCTTAAAATTTACACATTGTCTTTAACAATATTTTCTAATTGTCTCCCATTCATCCACAGATTTTTCAATAGAAGTTATTTTTTGTATTCATCGTTAAAATATTTTCAAAAAATAATTGAGACAAAAGTATTTCTGTAAAATATTTAACTAACATGAACTATATATAGTTCGAACTTTTTTTTTCTTTTATATTGATTAGTTTTGTATCTGAAAGCAGTGACTATCTATATCGATATGAAAGATTTTTATTTATAACTGCAAAATATATAAAAGAAATAAGCGACGATTTATAGTTTCATTTTTTACTTTATAAAAATATGTATGTTTTTTCCCTCCTTCACTACAATCTCTCATCTAAATTGTAACAATTATATGCTTATTTCTAACTTGTTTATTTATAAATAACCTGAAACCAGAATAAAAAATACTGCCATTCTATTTATTTTTATTGAATATCCATAAAAAGCAGATATTGTCAAAATCAATAAAATAAAAAAGTGGTACTAAAGTAAATATTTTATCACTTTTATAGGCAAATCGGTTTAAAATAATACACAGATGTAGGAAAAGATTATATTCAAACTAAAATATTTTATATAAGGCTTTTTTAGTTGTAATTTGGTTTATTTTTCCTATCAGCTTTAAAAGATTGCAACTTATTTATTGATTATGTTTAGAAAAATTGAAGAAAGTTTAGAAATAAGGTAATCAACTATTCTTTTATTTTGAGATAATCTAAGTAAGGAATCAAATTCAGAGCCTTTTAAATTTACCCCCTATTTAATTCCAATATTAATAGATCTTCAAATGTATTTCGCTGCTGATTGATCACTATTCGAAATTAAAAATTAACTTGTTTTAAATCTTTAGAAGATTTCAAAAAATTATAAATGAATAAATTAAAAATAAAAAATTACATATCAAATAACTAAAATCAAAAAATAAATTAAAATGAAAGCCTTCGCCTTATTTGCAATTATTGCTTTGACTGTTGTCCACTGCGATAGTCCCTCTTGGGCCAGCTAATCTGCTGCTTAAACTTTCGCTACTTGTATTACTGCTTTGAAGACACCCTCTTGTGCTCTCACCACTTGCACTAATGCTTTAAGTACTTATACTACTTGCATTGGTTGCTCAGGCAACAACGGTAGTTACAGTGCCTATTTAACCTGTGTTAAAGGTTGTGCTACTACTTTTAATGCTGATTCCACTACTACCAGTGATACCACTGCTGCCGCTTATGTTAATGGATACACTACTTGCGTTCAAGGTCTTAATGGTTCTCTTTTGGCCTTATCAGCTTTCTTCTTAGCTGCTTTCGCTTTACTCTTCTGATTTTTAAATTTAATACAACTCAAAAAAATAAATTATTTTGTAAATATTCGAATGTATATCAATCACGTTTGACTATGTATTTACATTTAATTTATGATCATCCAATATTTTTCCTCAATCAAAATATTATCTATCTTATATTTTTAGAATTCATTCATTTTGAAAGTATTAAAAAAATCAAAAAATATAATGATCAAATATATATTTTTTTTCTTCAATTTTTTATTCAAAAGATGAATAAAAAAATTCCTTATTTAGAAAGAAATCTATCTAATTTTCAATGAAAAATTGAATTAACAAACAAATAAATAATATTTTGATATGAAACACTAATAAAATTTTGTTGATTATAGCTAATCTATATAAATAAATAAATGAGATAAATCTTAGTTTTCATATCTACTTTTATTCAAAAAAAGTACCTAATTACAGTAATAATTAATTTAAGTTTTTATTATTTTTTCCACAACCTGAAAAGTGAATTAATCAATATATTTTTTAATATGAATCAAGGTTTGCTAAATATTTATTTAAATAAATAGATTATAAAATGATAGAATTCACTTAAAAATTAAAAATTTTTCTAAGGAATTATTTTTAAAAATTACAGCTTAAAAATTCTAAAATTAGAGAGAATATTTAATAAATGCCAATTATTTTTTTGAAAACTAAAAATAAAAATATATTCTTTCGATATTTATTTTTTATAATTTAAAATAATCGATTTTTCTTTAAAATAACCAGAAATCAATTTTATAAAATAATAATCATAAATCTCTTACTATGTATATTAATCTATTCATTTAAAATATTGCTTTTTAAAATTATCAAAAAAAATCTATCTAATAAGTAGCTTTACAAACATTTTATATGTATTTTATTTTATTTAAAAGCTTTGCAGTTAGTTTCTTATGACTTATCTGCAAATATTATTCTATGAAAAAAATTATTTATTTTATACGAGCTAATATAATAACTTTGTAAAAATAATTTAATTGATAAATAATTAAAACAACTAAAAGAAAAAATAAAAGAGTTTAAAATAAATTATTTACTCTTAGTAATAATATTAAATTGATACATTAAAATAATAGATTTAGTAATCTTACAAATTTTTACAATTTTCACAATTGAAATAAATTAAAAGAAATAAAATCAATATCTTAATTTAAAAAATTTTTTAAATTATTTAGTTAAACACATATCAAGAATGGTTTATGATTTTTTTTTGTTGTTAGATGAAATTAAATTTTGATCAAGAATAAAAAATGATTGAAGCTTTTGAAATTATATTTTTTTGTTCCAATTTTATATTTTATTATGAAATTAACTCAATTTATTTTTGTTGGGGTTGTTTGTTTGAAAAATGAAATTATTCTACTAAGTCAAATTAATTTAATATAATAAAATACATATTATTTAAACAAAAAATAAAATAATTTATTTTATACTGTTAGTTCTCATTAATTCACCCAAAATTATATTAACCCCCCCAAAATTTTTTAACTCAAAAAAACGCTTAATTTTAGTGATTTCTCGGAATTCAGACAGATCTTGTTAACGAGGAATTACAGTAGTTTAAACTTGGAAATCAGCACTGATACATTAAAGAATCATATTTTAAAATATCTTTTAAGGATAATATGAAATAGGCAGAAAACAAGCTACTATCAAATATATGATAAATACCATAGAAGCTAAAGCTATTAAGATAAGATATTCAAGTCTCTCAATATCTAAATCAAATTTAATGAAGTTAACTTAATTAAAAATGAAGTTAGATCAATCAGATTTGAAAAGAAGAATATTATTATTTAAATTTATGATTTTAATTAATATAAACAAAGAAGATATGGAATTTTATGTAAATGGGGGAATTTATTTTATTATTTATTTTATATGCTTATAAGAATTAAATTAACTTAAAACATAAGAATTAATAATATCTATTTTATAAGCATTCTTAATCAATACAAATACAACAATGTTATAAAAAAAACTGTGTTTTCAATTACTGATCATTGTATCAAATTACTAAAATCCTTTAAAATATAATTAAAAAATAATATAAAAAGAACTGCAACTAGAGTCGATTTAAAAACTATTATGAGAAAGCTAAAAGATTTCTTTTAAAATATTATAAATCAAAGAATCCTAATACAAAAACGAAAAAAGATTTCATTTTAGTTAGAATGATGAAATATTTTTTTTTCAATCAATAAAACTCCTCTTATTCTTATTTTTTGTTAAATGAATTTCTCTTCTTTTTTATTAGCATTTTGAAGAAATTCATGATTTTAATTAATTTTGGTCTTTTATAAACAACTCTATCAACAAAGAATGAATAAATTACTTTTTTATTCTAAATAGAATAATATCTCATTTGCTAAAATACAAAATCTAATAATCTTATAAAAATTTGATCATAATTAAAAACAATTTTTTATTTAAGTTTTTGTTTTTAAATTCAATTTTGTCTGCTCATCAATTGATGTTTCAAGCTGACTTGATTGGAAAATTTATTACAATTAATTCTCTGATAAACTGAGTTTCCAAACATTTCATTATTTTGATACTATTTTAATTTACTATTTATTAAAATATAAATCTTCTTTCTTTTTTTTTCAAAATATATGAAGATGCATTTTTAATAATTATGGATACTTAAAAGTTAAGTTTATAAAGGAATAAATGTAGGTAACATGTTTATATTTAAATAACATCTTTATCAATTTACTATGAAAAAACACAGCAATCTAATATGGTAATGCCAAAAAATAATTTATTTTATGTTTATTTATAATAAATTAGTTAATTGTAGTAAGCACGGACAGTAAGAAATGCTGAAAATTTGTTCAGTGATTAACATGAATATTTTTTCAAAGAAATTAAATGAATTTTTATAATAATTATAGTTTCTTTTCAAGATTTGACTATCTATCTATCAATCATACCAATTTTTCATTTATGTCTTATACATAAAATTTTAAATAATCAATGAAAGATAATATTTATAATTTCTTATGTAAATTTCTTATTTATTTAATTTTGGTATAAAGAAAATCACATCAAAAGTTGTAAAAGATTTTTGATTTTATCATATTATATTCATATAATTTAAAAATAATAAATAAAGTAAAGAAAGATCATTTTAAGCATAGATGAATGACAATTTGCGAGATGCATTGATAACCAACTATGATAGTTCAAATATATCTATTAAATAATCAAATATAGAAGGTGAGTGTGTAATTGAGGGCATTACCCTGCTGAGAATCAAAAAATTAAAGCTCGTTTTAGCAGTTTTCCTTTCAATCATCACTTGCGGAATATTCCTTCTTTTACTAAGATGGTTTTTCAAACTGAGAAAAACTTTTCTTTACAAAGAAGTTTACAAAATTTAAGATTGCACTCATGTATTAGTGCTTAATTCTGATAAAACTCTAGTCTTTTAGAATCTCGAAAATAATGATTTAAAAGCAAATTAGAAAGATGATTAGTCTTATGATAAGGCTTTCTGCTTTTAGAATAGAATGCTAAGATATGTCTACTATGAGTAAAAAGGTTTAAGATACTTTCAAGCTTTAGAATTTCCTGTTATTGAAATGGACTTCAATTAGTTAAGATAATAGAACTTTTTAGATAAGAATTAGGTTCATGACAATTAATAGCATTATGGTAAATGTGAAAGAGTCATTGATATCCCTTCTTTGCCTTCATATCTGTTTAAAGAAATGACATCACCCTTCTACTTTTTACAATATATTAGTATGTTATTATGGATATTCGAGACCTATATCTAGTTTTCTATTATGATTTTTAGTGTTTCTTTTGCTGTCACTTGTCTGAATTACATTATGATGAGAATCTCGCTTAAAAAACTATAATAAATGGCTCATATAAACGACAACCTAACTGTTCTAAGAAAAAGTACTTCTTAACTACCTTGTAATTTTAATACTCCTATTTTATTCTATTCAGCATAAACTAGACAGATAAATGCCATCACGAATTTCAATAAACCTTAAATCATTCATAGTTAAATGATCCGTATATATTCATCATTTATAAACCTTATCTATCAAACTATCTATCTATCTAACTATTCTGAGATATTTTAGTTTACTTCATTTTCAATTTCTTAATAATTTGAAAAAACTAAAAGTCTATTTGCAAATCATAACATATTAATTTTATCAATTGAATTATTTTAAAATATTTTTTGAGCTTTTCTATTTTATTAGTTATCTTTTTTAGAAAAAAAGCTTTATATTTATATACTTTCTTATTAAAATAAAGGCGATTACATTCCTGGTGATGAAGGTGAAGCCTAATAAATACTAACCAAAGAATTAGCTGTTGGAGATATTATAGTTTTACAGGATAAATAAGTCCTTCCGTGTGACTGTATTCTTATTTGTGGAGAAGCATTGCTTAATGAAGTAACTCTAACCGGAGAGTCTCTACCAATACCAAAGTATCCTTTGCCATCCTAAAATTAAAAGTTTTCTTACTCAAAAAATTTCAATGTAAACTAATAATTTAAACTTCTTAATAAATAATTAATATAGAAAAGATAGATAGATAGATCCAATCTTACAATTTTATATTTGAGAAAATAAAACTAATCATTTTTAATCTAATTAGAAATACATCTTATATGAAGGCACAGAGATATTTTAATCTAAGAAGGATTAAAATTAATAAGTACTTGCCAAAGTTATACGCGTTGGCTTCTAATCTTTTAAAGGGTAAATTTTGAGATCAGTGCTCTATCCAAAGCCATTAAAATTCGATTACTACCTAAATGCTATGTATTATTTAGTTGGTAAATTGAAATACTTTTAATCGTTATTGATATTTTAGTAAAGTATTTATCATAAATTTTAATATTAATGCTTAACTAAATAGGACTTCTTGTTATTGTTCTGATTGTTTATTTTAGTAGAATCTATCAAATGTATGTCTTAAATTTTCCATAACAGTTTTATTTTTATAGATTCTTTGATACTGTTACATGGATTATTCCTCCTTTTCTCCCTATTTTTGCCGCTATAAGTCAAACACTCGCTATGATGAGACTAAGATTGTACCATATCTACGGAATTGATCCTTAAAAGACATTTATTTCAGGAAAAGTTACTCACATGTGCTTTGATAAAGTAATTTCTAAAAATTAATGCTTTTCTAAAGATTATCATACACTTACTTTATCATCAAAAATAATTATTTCAAAGCAATCAATTTAATCAAAAAATATATTTAAAATCATAATTTAAAACTGAATAACTAAAATGTTATTTTATTTCTCAGACTTACTTTATTACAATTATTAATTTTTTTATTTGTTTATTTGAAAAAAAGTTCCCTTAACACACAAATTATCTTTAATTTTTAGAAAAAAATAAATAGCAACAACAATAACAATTAATTTTAATTATAAATGTGTTAAATAAATAATTAAAATTTTTTAAAAATATAAAAATTAGACTGGGACTCTAACACAGAATGGAATGAATGTATATGGCTACTTCAATGAAAACCTTGATTAAATGATTACAAAGTAAATGGTGCAAGAAGAAAATAGATGTAATGATATTTAGCATAAGCTTTTTAGTACTTGCCATGGAGCTTACCTAATCAATGGTGAAATTGTTGGAGATATGTTGGATATTGAGATGGTTAAGTTTTCAGGATACTAAATTTAAAATGTTTAAGATAACATAAATATTAAATTTAAGAGCTCACACCCAAATACTTAGAATGAGTTGTAAGTAATGAAGATGTTTGAATTTTCATCCGAAATGTAATCTATGTCTTGCGTAGCTTATGATATAAAAGCATAAAAGAGCTATTTGTTTTTAAAAGGCGCTCCAGAAAAAGTTCGTGATATGTGTTAATCATCTACTATCCCAAGCAATTTTAAATACATGTAGAATAAGCTTTCTTTAAAAGGGTTTAGACTTATTGCTATGGCTTATAAGGAATTAAGCTCTTCGAAAGAAGCGATTGATCTTACAAGAGAAGAACTTGAATAAAATCTTAGGTTTTTAGGATTTTTAATTTTAGAAAACTAACTCAAAGAAGACACTCCTGAAGCAATATAAAGCTTAAAAGAAGCTCAGATTGAATGCAAAATAATTTCGGGTGACAATCCTCTCACAACTTTATAAACTGGTATTGAGTGTTAAATAGTAGACGGAAACAGAAAAGTTTATTATATAGACATAGAAAATTCATAAATAAATCTATCTCTGATTGAGAATGAAGAAATAAAACCTTATCAAATCCAAAATTAATCTGAAATTCAAACAATCACATAATTAATAAGCTAAGAAGAGTAATTTGTAATAACTGGAAAAGTTTTAGATCATTTCTATGATAATCTGAGAAATGCGAGTAGCATTAGTTTACAATAGCTTTCTGACATTAATTATTCAATTGTTTCAGAAAATAAGAGTCTTACATCTTCTTTGAGGAGTAAAAGCTAATATCCCAATGATTTATTCTAGCAGTTAATCTGTAAGACATAAATCTTTTCTAGAATGAGACCAGAATAAAAAAGAATAATCATAGAAACTCTGTAAAATTCAGGTATAAAAGTAGGAATGATAGGTGATGGTGCTAATGATTGCGCAGCAATTAAATAAGGTAAAATATTAATTATTTAATCAATCTCATTTAAATTTAATCAAAATTTTTTTCTTAGGTGACATAGGAATTTCTTTTGCCTGCGCCGATGCAGCCTTTTCAGCACCTTTTTCTTCTAAGAGCTAGTCTATTAAATGTGTAGAAAGAATATTATTAGAAGGTAATTTTATATTTTTAATAAATATTATGAAGATCTAATTAATTATTTTATATTTAAATATTAATTAGGTAGATGCACTATGGCAATAAATATAGAAGTTTTTAGAAATATTGTCACTCAAAATGTTATGAAATATATTTCTGTTATGATTCTATTATAAGAAGCCCAAAATTTTGGCAGTTTGGAGTTTACTTATCTTGGCTTTTTGATTGGAATTCCTATAGTTGCTTTTATTGCCTACAGCAAACCTCCAACTAAACTGCAACCCTATGTTCCAGATGACAAGTTTTATGGCTTATATAACACTTTATCAATGTACAGCTAATTTATTATTTTTGGAGTAGCTTTCTTTTTGGGTTATTGGGTAATAACTTCTTAAAGCTGGCATGTAGTTACTACTGAGTTAGATGAAAGCAACGGATTAAAAGCTTATAACATGTCTGGTGAATTAAACTCAGTAATTTTCCTCATGATTAATCCCTTGTATAACCTATCTTGCATAGTATATCACATATCATATCCCTTTAAATAATCTATTTTTAAAAATATTTTTTTGTTTCCTTGGTTGGTAATTTCTACTCCCTACTTACTTCTTACTATTATTATGCCTGAATACAATATATCAGCTCTCGATATATCAAGCAGTCTAAGTGAGCATAGGATCATAATGCTCTATGTTTTAATTATAGTAATTAGCTCCTTTTTTATCTCGTTCTTCCTTGAAAAATTAATATTAAAAAAGATATTTGGGCCTAAGAAAATAAAAGAGACTATTTGATTGTACAAATTAATATAAACAAATTTATACCTAATTATATAACTAAAAATATGAAAATTATTAAATTAAAATAAATAGTTGAAATTAATTAATTAATTAATTAGTTAGTTAGTTTCAACTAATTTTTAAAATTATTAAATTGAATTCCTATCTATTATTAATTATTTAACTTCCCATAATTTTTATAAATATCTTTTTGTTTAAAAAATAAATATTTTATTACCTTTTCATTTAATTAAAAATTATTCACTATTTGAATTTTCTATTTATAAATGTATTTTTAATGAATTAATTAATTAATATTTTGCTTTTATTTTATGAAAAAATTATAATCAGGCAAATTTATAAATTATTTTAATCTTAAAACAAACATTTGGAATAATGAATTATTATTTTTATAAAAGTAGGAAGGAATATATCATTTAAAATATTAAGATTAATAAAAATATTATATGAAAATTAGTTATTAAAATTAAACATACTATATTTTGCTTGAAAATTCTTTTAATAAAAACATTAATCATTTAATTAATAATTTTTAAAAAGTTAGCTAAATTTTTTGTTAAGAGAAAGAATTTAATAGCAAAATAATCATATTAGTATAATTTGAATATTTAAAAGTGATATAAATATAATTTTAATATATTTAACGTTTAAAGCATATTTAATAATTTATTAATTCATTAATCAATAAAAAAATTGAATTTTAAAATGAATATTTTCTATTAGTAAAATTTTGCAAAATCTATTCATTTTAAAATTTACATTTACTAAAGAATAAAACTAACTCTTAAGTCATTATTCCAAATAATTAAATAATTCAATCTTATTTAAATAATTTGAAATTAAAAACACTTTATAAAATGGATCTCTAATAATATTTTAATCTGAAAATCTCTGCTAATTAAAAACTAAAAATTTATTTATTTCTTTTTAAGAAAAAAGTTTTGGCTTTCGCCTTTTAACCCTTTTTAATTGAACTTACTATTTCAGTAAGTAGAACAGGCTTTCTTTCGTTTTATTGATAACATCTAAATATCTAAGTTAAACTGAACATATTAAACAAAGTAATTTGATTTTATTAAAAATATGGGTTCTAAATGCATTTTCTACTATTAAAAGCGTCTATCGTTAAAATATGTTTCTAATGGCTAATATTTTTTTATTTAAAGTGTCTACAACACAATCTTAATTAATTAATAGAGGCTTTTCATAACTCAAAAAATATTAAATAAATAGACTGTTTTTATTAATTAATTTGGAGTATACTTTAAATTTAAAACTAAAATTAATTTTTACTATTTATAGCAATCAAGTAAAATTAATTTATGAGAGATAATAAATAATATTTTTTAAACAAATAATATTTTCATCATTTATTTTATATTAGAAGATAAATTAGTTATAATTGAGTAAGGTATATATTATTGTTGCCCTATTTGAAGAAAATAAAAATACTTAGGGGTATCAAAAAATTAGTAATAATCAAAAATTTTTCATCAACTAATGCTATCTAATTAGAATTAATAAAAATAAGAGCTAATTTTTTTACCTTTAAAACAACAGCAAATAGTTAGAATTTATGATTAATGAAAAAATATAAATAATAATAGTGTTTCAATGATTTAATTCAATTTGAAGTTTAAAAGTAAAAAATACAACAAAAACAACAAAAAAAATAAAAATAACTAAATCATAATTCTATATTTTAAATCTATTTCATTAATTCCTCTTCATCCAATTCTTTTTATTGTTTTTCTTGCTACTCTTTTTGCTTGCTTTAACTACTTTCGTTAATTTCATCTTTCTTATTTGGAAGTAAATTAGGAGATCCTTTTGTCATTTAAGAGAAATAGCTTTGCCTTTATTTATCATACAAAGGACTACCATCACTCTAATAAAGATCTTCTTATGAATCTTACTATGATTAATCATTTAATTTAGAAATTTTCTTTTTTTACTTGCTTCCCTTTTTGGAATATTCTACTTTTGATTATGATTCTTCTCTAGCTCTTTAAACTTCAAACTAGTTTTCTTCTACTCTCAAAATAAAGTGTCTAATAATACAGCCAGAAGGAGTATAGATTCTGATCAGAATATCCTCAACATTTTACAATTCAGGTACTCCTTTCATAAGAATTAAACCTTGCTGCATATCTAAGGTAAGCCAACTTGGAAGTTACATATTACCTTTTGGACCATAAGGTTTATAATCTAGCCCTAAAAGTTTTTCTAACCATTTAAAATATTCTCCTGGTGCATATCTGAGAGCGATAAGGCTTGTTATCTGGTGAGGATCTAGATGAACTGATTCTCCATAGCTAGGGAATATTGAACTAGATGATTTTTCTGAGATACCTAAAGCTTCTGCAATCATGGCATATTCAACTAGGTATAAATTTAATCCTTATCTTGAAACGGTATTGTAAATGTTTTCTCTAATTAAATTATTAACATTTTCTTCATCTAAATTCTACATAATTTCCTAATCAATTAAATTAAGCTTTTAAATGGGCTATAAAAATTGATTGATTTTAAGCTAAAGTAAAGGGAATGTGTACACACGACCTTGCTTATCTAAATCTTCATTTGATTCTATTGTTAAGTAGTATTTATACCAATCGCTTTCTGATAGTTAAGGATTTAGAAGAAGCGAGTATTTCTTTAAATATTTTACAACTGCAATACATTTTTTATCAAATTTTATTAGTCTTTTTACTAACTGATATTTTAAGCATTGACTGAGAGCTACCATTTCATCCTCCAAATCATCCTTTTACTTTTTAGTTGATGTTTGATCCCCGTTTAGATTGAATTAGATATCGTATTGCATGAGATCTTATTTAAATGCTGCATAATTTAAGTCTCCATTTTCTTTAAGATAAAATATTTCTATCTTCTACTTTTTCTTCGATGATTTTAAAGAAGGTAGCTTTTTTCTAAATGATTAACTCAAAGAATAAATATCATTATTTCTACTATCAAAATTGGCTGATTATTAACTTTTTTGCGAAATTAATTTTTAATTAGTATCTGGTTATGAATTGATCTATTCTTGCTAACCGATACCAACTTTGTTTTGAAGAATGTTATTGTAGGTTATTTTTTTGTGTTCCAATATTTTTAATAGGCGTTTGACAATTTGGCGAGCAGCTCTCTATTCATTAAGGATGAGTGGTATTTTGTAGTAAAATGACTCATTTGGCTTGCATATAATTGTACTATATCTAGTCCTTTTTGAATAAAGGACATTATAAAACACGTTTCTGAATTTATAGGCACCTAATACTCCTGTTAAAGGACCAAGAATAGTTGCTATCCATTATAAAACAAATAGGATAGGAAGTTAAGTTACATGGACTGTAAAAGTATCTGATATCTTTGTGAACCCATCACTCGCAGTAACTTAAACAGTATAACTTTTCTAAAATGTTTCTTAAGGAGGGTTTCCATAGAAATTATGTCCTTCAGTGTTATATTAAAGCCAATCTGTATTATCAAATGGTTAAAATTTGCTACCCTTTAAGATAAGAACTTTGTAGGTTATAGTTGTATTAAAATCTGGCACAACAAATGTTTAAGGATCTATGGTAAATCCAAATTAATTTAAGATAAAGATACCATCGCTGAATTAGCTTTGAAGTGTCTTTTTAGGGTTGATTTCAATATTTTGTTTTTACACTAAAAATGGGAATTAAGACACAGGAAGCTCTCTGATAATAGGATAATTCATCGAATCAGAAACAGTTACAGTTGCTATTATTTAGGAATATTTCTTTGGTGGAATTGGGAAAATAATAATTTTTTTTGCTAAAAAAGTATTAACATTTTATATTAATCCTGTGATACTCAGTATGTTTAATTCTAAATTAACTTAAATATTAACTGAGGGTTGATCGACATAAATAAATTTTCCAGTGAACTTAGGTATTTCTATAATAATGTTGACAGTTTGCGCTTGTGTCTAAATATAATCCATTGTAGAATTGTCAATGATAAGAAATAGTGAAGGATAAATGTTGATGTATATTGGAGTAAACTGTATAGAATTCAAAAGAGTATACTTTACTAACCCACTTACGCAGAGATTATATGTTTATTATGTAGGATTTGAATTTGGGAAAAGAGTAGTATCTTAGAAAGCTATTTATTGTTAATCATCGAAGTTCAAATCTGGAGAAACTAAATTATTTTCATCTATAGTTCCAGATGATTAAAGCTGGCTGAAAATAGAGTTAGCTTGAGATACAGTTGTTTAACAGTCACCATTAGTGAACACAAAATCAGTAAAGGCAAGAGGATTCAAAGAGGTTAAAACCAAAGTATTTAGTAAAGGCTTATCAAGATTAGTTGGATCTACTGCTTCTTTTAAAATTTATATTGTAAAGGATATTTCAACCGGATTAAATGTTATCCAATATGGTAGTGGATATGGTACTAGTTTTTGATAAAGAGTTACTCTGCTTACAACTAAATCTAAAGGTTAATAAAGATAGCATATATTGATCTTAATGGTTTAGCCAACTGAAAATTTAAATTCATCTGGATCATTGATGATATTAAAAAGCATGTCTCCTTCTGGGCTATATCCATAAATTTAGATAAAATCTGTATGTAGATAAGCTTAAACAGTTAGAGGTAATTGCCTCATCTGAACATTGTTGTTAATAAATAGCCTAGAGAAATCATCAGTTACACAAGTAAAAAGACCATTTTAAGTCCCATATTAATAGCTTGAAACTATAAAAGGATTGGTATTATCTGATATATCCAATAAATAAACCATTCCTTGTTGTAAAGTAGAAACAATTACTGTTTTTTCTCCTTTTAAAAAAGTTATATCATTTGTCCATCCATCAAGAGTTACCTGAGAAAAAGCTACAAACTCTGGTAATTTTCTTTAATCCATAATGTATAGACCACCTAGCCCATCAATCAAATAAAATTGATAATTGAAAGCAAAAGACATATAAACCTGCTCTGCGCCATTTGAATTTATGTAATTAACAAATAAGATATTGTTCAAATCGGTAATGTCAAGCACGAAATATCCATAGCCTCTGCATGCACCTACAAAATATTTTTCATTTGAAGATACCATTACTCCTGTTGTAAATCCTTTCATGTGTGGTAAAAAATTCCAGATAGCAATCACAAAATAGCTACCTAAAATTGAAGTATCAACAAAAACTATAGTCCTATCCAAAGAACATGCCAACATAGTATCACTATTATTGCTATCAAAATCTTTGATATAACCAGGGAAAGGCTATCCCAAAGGTACTTTCTATATTATATTAAGATTGGCATAGTCAGAAGTATCAATTACAGCTAAAAAGTTAATTCCATCATTCATAGATGTTATTAATGTTTGATGCGAATCTTTATAGTATATTGAATCTGTTGGAGCGCTTTAACCTGCTGGCTTAAATTTTTAAGTAACAACTTTAAATTAAGTCGGAATACTAACATCTAAGAACCAAATTCCATCAGTATTAAATGCTCCAGTGTATATTTTTCTAGTTGGATCATAGTCGCACCTCCAATAGAATCTAGTTTTAGATAAGTTAAAACTTTTTGTTTATAAACTATTATATAAACTAACATATTTCTGCCCAACAATTGGTGCCGTTCTTCTAAAGATCATAAGAGAGACTGCATTAGAAAAATAAAGGTAATTTCCAGTCGGAGAGAGCGCTATTGCATTTCCATGAAATGGGAAATATGACCACATATAAGTATTAGGAGCTTATTTATTAGTGAAATCAATAGTGTAGATACCTATAGATCTGACTCCTAAAAATATAAAGTTTCCATCATTACTTAAACAGAAGGAATAAGGAGATGGTATTGTCAGTCTTGAAGGCCACCATTAATTGAGATAGTAATTCAGAGTCAAAGGATAACTACTAGGATTTGCCGAAGTTATTTAGGTAAAATCTCCAAAACTTAAGCCATTTCTAAAGTCTAAATTGATAATGTATTTTGAATCTGGAGTTAGAAGAACATTATGAGAATAGCCTTGCGTAAGTCCTGGAAATGAACCAACTAAAGTACCAGTTACTGAACCTGGTGTCCTATTTAATGCAAAAATAGCTAAGCCATAGCTATCCTAGCATAAAAGTATAAACTTTTCATCTGGCGTTACCAGTCCTGTATATATTTAACTATTTTTCCATGTTATACTTCCAACAAATGTAGGCTAGATCTTGTTTGAAATATCTAATATTCTAACATTTCCATTAATCTGAAAGATGTATAAATTCTACTCATCTGGGCTAAGCTTGACATCAACTACGAAAACTCTGCTATTATCTTAAGCAACTTAGACTAGATTTTATCTACTAGAAAAATCAAATACTGACAGATAGCCGTTATTGCTCATAAAGACATAATTCGCATCTCTTGTAACTGTGAAACCCATAATGTTGTCTGTAGTTGCTTAAGATGCTATTACTTTAAACTGTTATGATGGATCGACTACCATCAAACCTGCATCTCCTTAGGAAACAAAAATAAGTCCAGTAAGAGTGCTAACTTTGATTTTAGAAAACTGACTCTGCTAATCCTTAGAATTAATTATGTAGCTAAATTAGGGCGAGTATAGCCAATTTTGAGGTGACTAGCTATATACTAAGCTAAAAGACAGTAAAATTACAAATAAATTAAATTTTCTTTTATACATACGTTAAAATCTTTTTTATTTAGTAATATTATTTAAATTAAAAAGTGATTATTCTCTTCGTAATCCATAATTTAAACACAGAAAAATCGTATTGAAGATTAATTCTTTTGTTGGGTTTTAGAAAGTCTTTTTTTATAGATTGAATTTAGCTGACTGATTTATTTTTTTAATTTAAATAAATAATTCCAATAAATTCTGTTTAAGTTGTGGTTTTATAAATAAAAAATTAGTAATTAAGACAAACTAACTTATACCTACTAAATTAGTAATTGTTTGTAAAGAGAAATTTAAAATAATATTTGAAAATAAATATATTATTCTATCAAAATATTTAAAATTTATATATATATATATATATATATATATACTTTCACAAAATTTATAAATATCTTTTTAAAATTAATTCTTAAATAATTAGATTTACTTTACTATTAGCTTTCAATTTATATTAACTGTTTCTCTACAAGTTTAAATAAATTTTTCTTCTAGAAAGTTGAATGATGTTCTTTGTTACAAAATTAATAATAAATAATGTCAATCACATTATCATTGTTATTATCGCTATCATTTCCATACAACTGAATTCTCAATTTTGATTATAAAAAAATTATAAAATGTAAATTTTAAAATATCAATCATCCATAATATTTGGCTAAAATTAGAGTAAAAAATTATTATAATATAATTTATGGGCTAAAAACATTTATTCATAGTTAATTCTTTTTGAAAAACTATCTTATATATTTTAAATATTCGTTTATATTGAAAAAACTATTTAAATTTGAATACAGAGATTAATGAAAAAACTAAAAATAATTTACTTAGCTTTTATTATTTTCTGTCTGGAAAATGTTTGTAAATAGTAAGAAACTTGATTAATTTAAGTGGGGTTTTTGTTCAAAAATTTAAATAAATTAAAAAATTATCTATTTCTTTAGACTAATTTTTATCATTCGTCAAGCAAAATTAATATTGTTAAAAAATTGATCTCTAAATTATTTGTCTGAAAACACTTTAAAAGTCAACATAAATGTTTTTAAAATGATAGATTAAAATTAAAAAATACCTAATATATTAAGTTGCAGTGAATATTTTCTTTTTATTTTTTTATTGCCATGAGTAATTTTAATTCAAAAAAATGATTTTTTTAAGTAAGCATAATTTCAATAAGCTACTTTAAAAATATATAAATTGTATAGCCAATCATAATTTTGGATAAAAATAGCTAAATGTCTGCAAGCATTTATGATTTATGACATCAAAATTAAGCTAGAGAGGAAAATAATATTTTTATTTATTTGAATTTTAAGAATTAATGAATATTATTGTTAATTTTTCATTTATGAAAAGAATATTTTTGAAATTGAAAGATAAAACCATTAACGCTAATTCCATTTATTTTATTAATACTTACATATACAGTTCACCTTCTTTGCTCTTAAACTGTAAACAGTAAAATTAGAATTTGTTAAAGAGTTTTTTTTAAGTGTATTATTTTATTTTTAGATAATATTTAGAAGAGTTTGATATTAGATAATAATTGGTTTGGTTTGTGAAAATAATTGCTATAAAATTTACTCCTTCATTAATGTTAGTTATAAAAACAAAATTAAGAAAATGTTTGCTTTTTAATTTTAAAAAAGCATATTTAAACTACAAAACAAGCATAATCTTATTAATACAACCAAACAAGATAGTGATTTTGAAGATAACAAAAACAGTTTTTAGAGAAATTAAGAGGTTTTTAAAATAGAAATCAATAATCTAAAAAGACCAAATAAGAAGTAAAAATAAATTTATTTATTAATCAAGTCATTCAAATTTTGTACAATATTTAGTTATTTAATAATAGTAAAGCTAAAAACCTTTCAAAATTCAGACTATCATCATATAATAAAAGCACAAAGAAATGAAAATTCACAAGATTTTTCAAAAATTATTAGCTTGAATATTTGTTTTAAACAATCAATAAAACATTTTTTAATTTTATGTGGAAATATTTTGGTCGAATTTCTTTTTTTACTTTTTTTAGCATATTAAGTTTTTAAAATGTTATCTAATAAATGTACTAAATTGTCAAAATGTTTCTTCATTTTCATAATGCATTAAAAATCTAAACCTAAATCCAAATAATGATATTATTATAAACATAAAATATATTAGGATATAATGATTCTACATAGGCTATATTATTCAAGACATGAAAGATAAATTACCATTTTTTATTAATCAACCACTTTTAAATTTTTTTATGATTATACAATTTTTATCTTTTTATGCAAATTTGTTTGATTTTACATTAAAAATTTGAACCATTTTTTTAAGTGAATTGTATACAGTTTTTGTTTTTAAAAGACTTAAATAAAATATTTGATTCTTGTTTTACTTTGAGAAAGATGTATTTACTTGATAGTATTTCATTTTTATATTGTTTTTTATGTAAGACTTTCTAAAAATTCTTAGTTAATAAAAAAAGTTCAAATGCCTATCTAATCGTTAATATGCATTGAATATTTATATTAATTAAAATTTTCGAAATTATGATAGTCGATTACTATATGCTTGAATTAGTCTAAAAACAATATGTATATCTCTTTTTAAAAAGGATTAACGCTCAGATTATTAATACTAATTAACCTAAAATAACTTCGATTTTAGTGAGTTAATTTTCGTTTTTATACAAATAAAAAACATAAAATTTGGATTATATATTACTTATTTTCTTAGGTTACAATTATAATAGAGTCAATTTCTTTAAATAGAAATTCTTACAGTTTATTAAAACTATTAACCAATCGACTAACTAGCCCTCTTTTGAGCAAGGGTTTATATTTATTGATTTCATTTCAATTTTAAACATTAAATTTATTTATAATTTTTGTTACTAACTCTTAAATCAAAATCAGCCAGCAAACAGTCTTTATGCTCAAATCATTAATGTTGTATTAATTTTATTAAAAACCATTATTTTAAATGACTTCACATTAAAACCAATAAATAAATAAATAAATAAATAAATAATAACTTATTGTGGTTTATTGCTACAAATTTAATGTAATAACAGATAAATTTTGCAATTTTTCTACTTAAATTATTTAATGGTGAGATAACACAAATTTTTGAAGTAAAATTGTAAATCTTATTATCTTTTATTTATTTACATGTTTTTTATTTATTAAAAAAACTAAAAGACTACATACAATAATAATTTATACCTTGAAAATAAAAATTGGGTTAATATTTATGTGGAAATTTTAAAAAATAAATTTCTTTTTAAAAAAATAGATGCAAAAACATCAAAACTTGAGGAAATTAGTGTTTACTTATGAGGATCTTCAGTATTTACTTATTTTAGAATAAGTAAATACATCAATTATCTTTTTTATTTGAATTTCTTATAATCATTATAAAAACCTTTTTAAAATAGTTATGTTATAGGTTTAATTTAGATTTATAAAAAATTTAAAAGTTGACTTTTGTCTTACAGTGTTTTCATATTCAGTTTATATAATATAATTAGTAATCTCGAAAAAGAGTTTAATCAGTTTTAATATTTATTCTGTTATTTAACATACATAAATTTTTTTAAAAATCTTTAACTAAGATATGAGTGAATAATTATTTATTGCTAATATCTTATTAAAATAATTACCTCAAAAATTGAATTTAAAATATTCTCAAAAATGAATTATTTTAACATTTTAATTTTTCTAATGTATTTTCATTTTTTTTATTTTAAAAAAATATAAATTGTTGATCTTATCAGCCAATAGCCAATATGATTTAATTTAGAGTGTGTAGGTTTTTTAGTTTAATTTTTTAATATCCTATTGAAATTAATAAATTATAAAAAGATATGCTTTATGATTATGTGACTTTTCTTATTAGATTAGTAATTATGGCTTATTTATTTATTAAACAAATAATGCATTATGAAGATAGATAAATATTTATAAATTCTTATTAAATTAAAATAAAATTTTGATAAATCTATAATAGTTTGTTTAAGTTTTCATAAATAATAAAATGTATTTTATTAATTTTTTGTTATCTTTTTTTTATTTTTGAATAAAGAATGAAGTTTATATATCCATAAAGAATATCTACTTACAATAAATCATTCAAAATTAGCTGTATCAAAAGACTAGTTTATTAAAAAGTCATACAAATCTTTTACTTTATCACCTGTAAAAGCAGATACTTCAAAAAAATCTACACCTAATGATTTGGCTAGATCTTAACCCTCCTAAAATGAAACTTATCTAAACTCATTTAGATCCTTCTTATTTCCAACAAGAGCAATTATTGATTTTATATTACATTTTTTAACATAATCTTCATAATAATATTAAATATGTGTAAATGAGTCTCTGCTTGTAATATCGTAAATCATAATTAAAATAGAAGTTCTATAATATTATGATGTTAAATGTTTGTGAAGGTGATTTATGACCCAAAATTTAAATTAAATCTCTTCATTTCCCTAAAATGTTTAAAATCTACTAAAAAAACTAAATTTGAAATATGTATTTTACTTTTCTCACCAATATGGTTGAATAATCAACATAGAGGGAATTTTATTGAGGAACCTCTCCATAAAATTGCCTTGCAAATATAGAAGATTTTCCAACATTTGCATCTCCTACAGAAATACATATTATACTTTTTTATTAACTGCCTTTTTTAGCAAACATATGAAAAGTAAGTCTACCTATTTGATTATATCAATTAATTATTAATTTTAGATAATCAGGAAATAAAAATAATCATCAAAAATAATATTTAACCGAAAATAAATAACAAATTCTAATATGATTGATTTTATATAGTTTTAGATTTAAAATATTTTTTTATTTAGCAATAATAAAAGCAAAATTAATTTCAATCTGAAAAACATTTTTGAAATGTCAAAGAATTAATTAATTAAATAAATATTTAAGGATCTAAAATCTCTCAAAGATATAAAAAAATTGTATTGGTTAAAATAGGAAATAGATTTCAAATATCTAGCAATTAAATTAATTTTTCTGTTTTTAAAAAAATAATAAATCAGAGGCTTAATTTAAAACCAAATGTATTAAAATTTAATTTTTATAAAATAGAGAAAGTGTAAAATTAGTTTAAAATCATAAAATTTAAATGACATATCACCATCTGTACTTACACAGTTCGTGATATTTTAATTACAGGATTAGCAATAGATAAATATGAATAAATTCTTATTAAATTAAAATAAAATTTTTATAAATTTATTATAAATAGTTTGATTAAGTTTTCTTAAATAATAAAATATATTTTATTAATTTTTTGTTTTTTTTTTTAAAAAAATAAAATTATGAAATTAATTTATAAATCCATAAAGAATATCTACTTATTATTAATTATTCAAAATTAGACTGTATCAATAGACTTATCTATTAAGAACTCATACAAATCTTTAACATTTTCACCTGTAAAAGCAGATACTTCAAAAAAATATACACCTAACTATTTACCCAGCTCTTAACCTTCCAAAAATGAAACTTCTCTATATTCATTTAGATCCTTCTTATTTCCGACAAGAGCAATTATTGATTTTTTATTTCCTTATCTAACATAATCTCCATAATATTTTTAAATATTTGTAAAAGAGATTCTGTTTGTAATATCATAAATCATAATTAAAATAGAAGTTTAAGGATAAACTTTTAATCCTTCTTATCTACTCCTATAACCTAAATCCCAAAACTAAAATTTAATTTCTTCATTTCCCTAAAATGTATAAAATCTATTAAAAAAAATAAATTCGAAATATTTATTTTACTTTTTTCAGAACGAAAATTTAAAAATCAACTCCAGCGGTTTTTTATCGAAGAAACTTTCCATGAAATTACCTAACAAATAGAGCAGATTTTCCAACAAATTAATCTCCCACTGAAGCACATTTTATAATTTTTTATTTACTGTCGTTTTTAGCAGACATAAGAAAAATGTATCTATTAGATTTGTTTGATTTATTATTAATTATTATTTTTAGATAATCAGGAAATAAAAAGATTCATCAAAAATAATAATTAAGCAAATAACAGCAAAATTATTTGATTAGTAAATTCTAACTTGATTTTATAAGCCAATATAAAGCATATTTTAAAATAATATTTCGCTTTTATTTACTTGATAATTTAACTTGTTCTAAATTAATGGGTATAATTAAAAATTAAATTTACAAATTACATTATATATATGATAAGCTAAATAATTTTTAAAAAAATACTTTACATTTTTTTGGATTCTGATAAATTGTAAAAGTATATTTAAAAATTGTTTATTTATATTTGTTTATTTGAGTATAGATTTTCTCTAAGACATCTATCTACTTACTTAGTTGCTTTATCTGAAAATTTGAAAATTACTAATAAAGTTTTATTGTAAGGAGTATTTTTATAAATTATTAAAACAATAAATATTTTCTTCTAAGATAAAACCTATAAAAAAATAGTTTTTTAATTTTTTTAGCATAATTAAGCTTCATTTTTGTTACTCTTATATAAAAGTGGGATTTTAGACTTAATATATTATGAAAAAATATAGAAACTATTTTTAAGGTTTTTTCATTTTTAAAATTTAATTGGAATTAAAAAATATATAAACAAAAACAAAAATATAAACTTGAAGATTTAGTATTTGCTTATGAGGATCTTAATTATATTTTAGAATGAGTAAAAACATCAATTTATTTTAATATCTTATAATTCTTATAGAGACATATTTAAAATAGTTAGTTATGTTATAAACTTGGCATAAATAAATTTATAAAAATTTAAAATTTCAAAATATTTTTAATAATGAGTTTATATAATAAATAAAGTAATTAATTCGTAATTTCTCAAAAAAGTTTATTGAGTTTTATTATTTATTATGTTTTTAAGATGAATTTTAAAAAATGGTTATTTCAAATAAATGCACATTTATTGCTATTATCTCTTAAATAATAATTAAAACAATAAAAAAATAATTTAATATATAAATAATACTTACCAATCACATAAACAAATTCACAAAATAGGAAAACATTTCTTATAAAATTTAAAAAGTATTTGATAAATTATTTTATAATTATTTGATTATGTTTGTTTTCATTATAAATAAAATATATTTTATTAATTTTTAGTCATCTTTTTCTTTTTAAATTAAAAATTAAAGCTTTTAAATCCTTAAAGAATATTTTATCTACTTACTATAAATTATTCAATATTCGACAAAATCAATTTATTTATTCATTAAGAAGTCATACAAATCTTTAATTTTATCACCCGTAAAAGCAGATACTTCAAAAAACTCTACACCTAACGACTTGGCTAGATTTTAACCCTCAAAAAATGAAACTAATCTAGACTCATTTAGATCCTTTTTATTTCCAACAAGAGCAATAATTGATTATTGGTTTTCTTATTCAACAAAATCTTTATAATAATTTTTAATATTTGTAAATGAGTTTCTGTTTGTAACATCGTAAATTATCATTAAAATAGAAGTTTAACGATAATATTTTAATGTTTTTTCTCTTGTCAGCTCGTTCAAATCCCAAAATTAAAATTTAATTTCTACATTTCCCTAAAATATATAAAATATACTAGATAAACTAATATGAAATATTTATTTTTACTTTTTTCAATCTCAAAACTTAACAATCAGCTTGATTAGTTAGATATTGAACAACCTTTTCATAAATATGCGAATAAAATATAGCAGATTTTCCAACAAATCTATCTCCCACTAAAATACACTTTATCGTTTTTTATATGCTATCATTTTAAGTAGACATAAGAAAAATCTATCTATCAGATTTGATCTATTTATTAATTATTATTTTTAAATTATCAGAAAATAAAAATAATTATCAAAAATATTAATTAAGCAAAAAATAGGAAGTTTATTTTTATAGTTAAGTTCTAATTTGATTTCGTTTTTATTAAATAGTAATTATTGCTAAATTAATTATAAATTAATTTTAAAATATAAAGGAATTAATTAAATAAATATTTAAGTTTAAAGATATAAAAATATTTTTAGCTATAAAAAGAAGAAATTGATTTAAAATATCTTCATCAATTAAACTAATTTTCTGATTTGACAATTAATTATTATTTTATTTTATTAAAATGAAAATAAATTCAAAGCTTAATTTATTTAAAATCAAAATTTAAAAAAAATTATTTTCATAAGAGAGTATAAATTAAAAAATAAGAGTAAATTTTACAAAATATCTCTATTATAAGATTAAAAACAATCCAAATTGTATTTATATATGATTCCTCTTAACTCAGTAATTTAGCTTTTTAATTTACAGTTATTAATTAATGATTTGATTATAATATTACATTCGTTTAATATGAAATTATAAAGCTAATTTCTTGTATTTCATTGATTTTGTAACTTTTTAGCCATTTAAAAATATTATCAAATAAAAAAAAATATTTTAGATGAGGTAACAAAAAATTAAAAAAGTTTTATTATAAGAGTGCAAGTGAAGATTGTTAGTATCAATCACTCTACTATTTTTTTGGATCTATCATCAAAAATTAATTGATAATATAGAGGAAGTATAATATATATTCTTTTATGTATTTGTGGTGTTTTAATTCATTAGATTTCCCATCAATAACTCTATTTTCGCCAAAGATTTGTTTTTATTTGAAAAACATTGAATTTATTATCTTAAAGAGTAAATAGCAAGAATGAAAGGGACTATGAATGATTCGCTTTTAATGAGCAATATTCATAGCAAATTAGCTGTAAATCAATCAAATGTTGAGGGAGAATGCTTAATTGAAAATATAACTTTATTGAGAGTTAAAAAATTAAAACTCATATTAGCTGCTTTTCTTTCTCTCATCACTGCAGGATTATTTCTTCTCCTACTAAGATGGTTTTTTAAGATTAGAAAATCTTTTCTTTACAAAGACGTTAATAACATCAAGGACTGCACTCATGTGTTAGTTGATAACTCAGATTAAACAAAATCAATTCAAAAGCTAGAAAAAATTTTGCTGCAGATAGAATAAGTAGATAACTCATAATAAGATGAAGTTTACTGCTTTGAAAATAGAATGATAAAATACATATATTATAATGTCTAAGATTATCAATATTTTTAAGCTCTAGAATACCCTGTGTGCAAAATGACATTTAACGAATTAAAAGAAAGAAATTTTTTAGATGAAAACCAGGCCATTGTAAACAAGCAGGCATTTGGTCAGTGTCAAAAATTGATTGATGTTCCCTCCTTACCTTATTATTTATTCAAAGAAATGACTTCTCCTTTCTACTTTTTACAATATATAAGTATAGTTCTATGGGTTTTTGAAAGCTATATCTAATTTTCTATAATTATTTTCAGTGTCTCCTTATCAATAACTATTTTAAATTATATCTTAATGAGAATATCACTAAAAAAAATATAATAAATGGCTCATTATAGCGAAAATGCTACTCTCCTTAGAAAGGATGGTAATCTTAATATTTTAACTTACTTTTGTCAAATTATTAAATTTACAAATAATATTAAACACATTTATTTTGCTACTAGTAAGTAAAACATCATTTAGATATATATTTTCAATAAGCTTTTTATAGCTTTAATGATAAGGGCCTTAATATATAATTTTTTTTAGTTCTTAAGATATATTAGATTTTACAAAACAAATGTCAAAGAAATGCTTTTAAGGATATTACTAATTAATTATTATTTGATATATTTAATTATCAATATTTACTTAAAAAACATAAATTTTTGATATTTAAATTTGAATGCCTTTATTTATTTTTTAAATTAGTTGAATCTTCTTTGAGAGAAAGTATCAGAATTGTTTAAGTTGTGAGCAAAGATATTGTAGTTGGAGACATCATTATTTTACAGGATAAATAAATTCTTCCATGTGATTGTGTTCTTATTTCAGGAGAAGCCTTATTAAATGAGGTCTCTTTAACAGGAGAATCTCTTCCTATTCCTAAATATTCTCTACCATCTACAAATGAAAAATTTTCTTACAACAAAAATAATAAGGTATTCTAAATTAATCAATCAACCATTTACATATAACATTTATATAAGATAAGAGTCTTTATTAATTAGTTATTAAAATAATTTAGAAGTATATTTTATATGAAGGCACAGAAATATATTAGTCCAAGTCAGATTAAAATAAGTAGGTTCTAGCAAAAGTTATCAGAGTCGGATTCCATTCATTTAAAGGTTAGATTCTAAGGTCAGTGTTATATCCTAAGCCAATATAGTTTGATTATTACAAAAATTCTATGAAATATATACTAGGTTATTTATTTATTTATATTTAATATATTTTTTTTATATTTAAATAATTTTCAATTAAAAGGTCTTCTTGTTATTGTTTTAATTATTTATTTTAGCATGATCTATAGAATGTATTAGTTAGATTTTCCTGTTTATTTCTACTTATATAGATTCTTTGATACTGTCACATGGATAATACCACCTTTCTTACCTATTTTTGTTTCTCTAAGCTAAACACTTGCTTTGATGAGGCTAAAATCGTTTGATATTTATGGAATAGATCCATAAAAAACATTTATTTCAGGGAAAATTACACACATGTGTTTTGATAAAGTATTATTAATTTAGTCTATCTAATTAATATTTTATCATTCTATTAATTCATTATTTTTGTTTTTACATTTCTAAATATATTTTAAATAAATTCAATGAGAGGGGGGAGATTAGGGGTTAAAACATGTTTTCATTCAATTTTATTTTAATAAAAATTTTATAAAAAATAAAATATATATATTCCCTAATTTTTTAACCCCTCCCCACCCCTTTATTTAATTGTTATTAAAAATAGTTTTAATTATTATTAATTTTAATGTCTCCAATTAAATTTTTTTTTCAATTTACTTCTCTTAAACATGCTTTTAAAGCAACTATTTAATTCTTTTTGTAAATACTCTAAATTAAAATATAGACAGGGACTCTCACTTAGAATGGTATGAATGTAATTGGATATTACAATGAAAATTTAGACTAACTAATAACTCATGAGCTAGTATAACAATTAAACAAATAATAAGACTTGCAACATAACCTTTTTAGTACATGTCATGGAGTTTATTTGGTAAACGATAATTTAGTTGGGGATATGTTAGATGTTGAGATGGTTAAATTTTCTGAATACAATATATAGAATGTTGAAAATGATATCAATATAAAATTCAAAGGAAGTCATCCAAAATTTAAAAATGAACTGCAAGTTATAAGGATGTTTGAATTTTCATCTGATATTCAAACTATGTCTTGTGTCGCTTATGATTCTGAAAAAAATTAATATCAGCTTTTTCTAAAAGGATCTCCTGAAAAAGTTTAAGAGCTATGTGACTAATCAACTATCCCTAATAATTTCTAATCTCTTTAGAATTCTCTTTCAATAAAAGGATTTAGGATAATTGCTATGGCTCATAGGTAGTTGAATTCCAGAGATGAAGGAAAATAGAGCCCAAGAGAAAGCTTAGAAAAGTAACTCAATTTTCTTGGATTTTTAATTTTTGAAAATAAACTGAAAGATGACACTTCAGAAGCTATTTAAAGCTTAAAAGAAGCCTAAATTGAATGCAAAATTATTTCTGGTGATAATCCTCTGACTACTTTGTAAGCAGGAGTTGAATGTGGAATACTAAATGGTAATAAGAAAATTTACTATGTCAATATAGATTACTAAGAATTGAAGTTTTACTTAATAGAAAACTAATAAATTTTACCTTACTAGCATGAAAGTTTAACTAAAATTTAAACTCTAAAACTATTACTCACAAACGATGAACAACTTGTAATTACTGGAAAAGTGCTTGATTTCTTTTATAATTAAATTAAATAAATTAACAACATAAGCCCTATCTAACCCCCAGAATCAGATTCCTCCCTTGATGAGTGGGCTTCTGAGAACAAAAGCATTAATAATTCAAAGCAAAGCAGAACCTCAAACAAAGTTGATTTATGTTAGTTATTAATTCAAAAGACAATCGTTTTCTCAAGAATGAGGCCTGAGTAGAAAAGAATTATTATAGAAATAATATAAAGCTCAGGTAAAAAAGTAGGAATGATTGGAGATGGTTCAAACGACTGTGCAGCTATTAAATAAGGTAATAAAAATTTTTTATTTTATTTTTGTTTATCTTTATATTAAAAATAATAGGAGATATTGGTATTTCTTTTGCTGCTGCAGATGCAGCTTTTTCAGCTCCTTTTTCTTCGAGCAAAGACTCAATAAGTTGTGTTGTGAGAGTATTACTAGAAGGTAATTAGAATTCGATTTCATTTAAAATTAAATGCTATGATTATTAACAAAATCTGAGCAAAAAAATTGAATTTATATTTATTCAATAAAAATAAAAAGGTAGATGTACAATGACAGTGAACATAGAAATATTTAGGACTATTGTTACTTAGAATGTAATGAAGTATATTGGAGTTATGGTATTATTGTAAGAAGCACAGAATTTTGGAGGTTTTTAATATACATATTTAAGTTTTATGTGTGGAATGCCTTTGTTAGTATTTTTAGCTTTAAGTAAGCCTTCAAATAAATTATAACCTTACACTCCAGATGATAAATTTTAAGGATTGTCTAATTGTCTTTCAATGTATTCATAATTTATCATTTTCGGGTTTGCCTTTATCATAGGATATTTTATTCTTACTTCCTAAAACTGGCATGTAGCAACTTCAGAGTTAGAAGAAAGCAACGGATTAAAGATCTATGTTATGCAAGGAGAGCTAAACTCAATAATTTTTCTCATGATAAACGTTTTTTACATGTCATCATGCTTAGCCTATTATGTCTCCCACCCTTATAAATAACCAATATATAAAAATATTTTCTTATTTCCTTGGATTATTCTTTCAAGCATTTATGGAATTTTGGTTATTATAAAACCTGAGTACTGTTTGAATGCCTTAAACATTGCTAGTAGTATCTAAGATCATACAGTTATCCTCTTAATTATTTTAGCAACAGTGATTGCTTCTTCAGGATTAGTTCTGATCCTTGAAGAGCTAATTATTAAAAAATATTTTGGCCCTAAAACAATAAAACAAATTGTTTGATCTTTCAATAAACTAAATAATTAATTAAAAACATTAATTTCAATACTAAATTTATTTAAATAAACCTGTAAAAAATTAAATATTGTATCAAATGTCATCAAGAATTAAATTATATTTCATTAATTTAAATAGATAAGATAATAAATATTGTAATTTATTATTAACCATCTTAAAATTATATATTTTTTTTCCTCATTAATTAATTTCTTCAGCTGCCATACAATAACAAATAAATAAATAAATAAATAAATAAATAAGTACTCATATTATATTCAATTATATTTATTTATTGACTTAAAAAATAATTTTATTTAAAATAAATGACTTGTTCATTTATAAAAAAGTTTTTATAATTGAAATATTTATTGAAAGGAATATTAAATTCAAAATAATGAATCAAATTCAATCTCAAAAAAATTATGTTTTTAATTGATTTTTATTAACCTAAGTAGATGTCTTTTAATTTTTGTTTCAAGTTGTTATTTATTTAATAAATCAAATAAGAAATTTATTTCAAAAACTTAAATGTGTTTTAAATTTTTTATGAAATTGAGAGTAATTTCTTTTTTTTAATTTTATAAAATCAGATTATCTTTATTTATTATTTTAAGCTTTCTCAACTTCGGAATTTATAAAATGACAGAAAATAAATCAGTTAATTCTTGTCTTTTTACATCATCTTTAAAAATTAAATTTAGGCTATTTAATTGTTTCTGATGTTGAATAATTTTTGTAATTTACTCAACAGAATTTTCTTGCTACTTCTAAGAAAAATCTATTTTTAAACTCAATAGAGAAAATTATTATAAGCTCTAAAATATATCTTAATATTGGAAGCTTTACAAATAATTTGAATAGGATAAATTAAGTTTTATAATGCTATTGTCTACTTAAGAGCGTTTGAATTTAATTTTTAAGTCATCAGATACATAGAAATTATCTTGGTTTATTTTTTTAAGATTGATCAAAAGAGGTAAAAATAAAAAGATATCATACTGACAAATCTTTATTTTTAAATAAGAAATTGTTGTCATTTGTTTTATAATGTTAATAATTTCAATTACTGTCTGTCTATTTTCATCGATGCTCAAAATTATTTTATCTAACTTCAAGTTTTTAATTTTTTAAACAATTACTAAACAGCTCTATCCATTTAAATCATTCTTATTATAAAATATAAATTCTAATTTAAGTTTAATAATGATTCTAATCCATTAGCCAAGCTTAAGAAGTCTTACTATTATAAGCATAAATTTGTAATTTAAATTGATAAAGTATGAAGATTTAATAAATTTTTGAATTCACTTGCAATATCAAAAACTAAATTTTAAGATTGTTAATAATTATAATTGCTAAATTACAAATTTTAAGATTATTAATAGTTTTAATTGCTAAATTCCAAATTTTAATATGCATCAAATTTTTATTTCAAAACTTGAATGCTCTTAGCATGCTTAAATCCACTTCCTAGCTAGCAAGCTTGTTCTTAAGCAAATAAAGAGTTCAAATTAATATCTAATTCTAGTTTTTACAATTATTTTAATGAATAAATCAACTGATTCAAATCTAAAAACCATCTATTACAAAGAGGTTAATTTTATAAAGTTAAATTTAAGTATTTTAATTGCTATAAATTATGTAGGCTTTGGAATAAAGAACTAAAACCTTCAACTTCAATAGAATTTTAGTAAACAAAAAACTAAAATGTTGTTAATTACATCAAGTTCTAAATTGTTTGAGATAATATATTTAAACACTAATAATTAAAATTGTTTTTACTTATAGATATTAAAAGTTCTTATAATAAGGAGCATTAACAAATATTTTAAAAAATATTAATTGTATTTTAAGTTCCTAAGTCATTATTTTCTTCGATTAGGATTTTTAACTTCTTGATATTTGGAGGATATTGAATATTTGAATTAAAACCACAAATTTATATTCCTATTTTGTTATACTATCCTATTCTGATTTCTAATTTCTATAAATTTAAAAGCATTTATACGCCATTAAGTAGGGCATGTAATCCTGAATAACATATATTATTATATGAAGCTATTATCAATTTTAGAGTTTCTAATTTTTATAAATTCTAAAGACTATTAGAGATATTTTCACAGCCTTATTTTTCGATGAAATTATTATTTTTAATTGCTAAAGAAAGCTTCCTTAAGTAATTCATTTACTTTAATTATTATCCCAAAATTTAGCAACCACTTGGTCCTATGTTTTTATATGAAAGTATTTCTATCTTTATATCATCACTTTAACATTAATTAATTTGATCAAGCCCTACATTGTTTATTTTATTCATATAAAATACTGAATTTTACATAAAAAAGCGCAAGTTTAGCCTTTTTTCTTTTTAAGTTTAATGAATATCACTATCATCAAATTCTAATATTCCTTATTATTTGTATTAATATTAATTAAAAGACATTTTGGAATGTTGTCTTTTTTATCTTAATAACAATTTCAAAATTTGATGATTTTAATTAAAAATGCTAACTGCTGCTTTTATAAAGTTACAAATACTCTATTTGATTTTAATAAGCATTAAAATTTTTTGTAGTTAGTAAAATCTTAATAAATAAAAAGCATCAAGATTTTAATTTTAAATAATTTAGGAAATATTGTAAAAACTTTAAAAAATAAAGTTTTATATTTTAATCATTAAAAAAAAAATTTTTTTCTCTCTATTAAAAAAAAAATTATAATATTTCTAACAATGAAGAAAAAAATATTTAAATTTAACAATTTATACATAAGATTACTTAAAAAAAAAATATATTTTCAGAAAAAGATAAAATATAAATTAAAAATATCTTTTCATAAAAATAAAAAGGTAAATTATAAATTAATAATATTAAATTTTTTCAGAATAAATATTTAAATTTTTTCAATTCTTTACATTTTTATTAACACACTTATATGCCAATTTTTAAAAAAAAGATAGGTTATTTTCATAAATTAATTATTTATCTTTTATTTTATTATACTTCATTTAATAAGATGTAAACTTCTTTTATTTATAAATAAAAATAAAGTCTTTAAAAACAACTTAATTATACGTTTAAATCTTATGGTGAATAAATCAAATTTATTTTTTTACTTTAATTACAACTAAATATGTAAAAAATTAAAACCTTCAATTTTTTTCTTTATATTTTTGCTTATTTGATAATAAACCTTATATCAATTTTTAAATTAAATCCTTTTTAAGAAAGCTTTTTGTGAGGCTGTTCATCTTGATTCTATTTATGTAATTATCAATTCTAAAAGAAAAATATTTTATGTTTAACAAAATTATTCTTAAATTGTAATGGTGAACAATAACTTATTTAGTAAACAAAATATAATTATAAATCTATAAATTAATAAATTTTGCTTTAAAAACATTTATTTAAATAGATAATTTATTTTTCCATTTTTAAAATTTTAATCCTTGAAAAAAAGTATTAGTTTAAATAAAAATAAAGAAAATTCTCAGAAATATTTTTCTCTGATTAAAATTATTTTCAGACAGATTGAACTTATTAGTTGCCTTTTGAGCTTTAGTTGATTTATGGTATTTACCAACTATTTAGTTTACACTATAATATAAAATTGTTAATTAATAAGACTAATTAAATAAATATTCAAAAAGTTTTAAAAACTAAAAATTCGGAAACAAAAAGAAAGATTTAGTAAGGAAGAAGTATAAATAATAGCAATAAATTGTATTTTTGAATCTTTTTTTAATTACAAGTTAGAAGAAAAATCTTTACCACAAATTTTTCTATTAATAAACTTTTTAATTTTACAAAATATTTTTCAATTTTCATTAATATAGATTCAGATATTATTAATTAGATTAACAAAATAAACTTCGATAAATAAAATTATGAGAATTTAAAAAAAAAAATGCCAAACTCTAAGCTCTGTAAGAGTATACTGATAAATTTGGAATAATTTAATTACCCTTTCTATCTAATCAATAAAGTTAATTGCTTTTATCTTAACTAATTTACTTATGTTACTAATAAAATCAAATTCATCAGAAAGTATAATTAAATACTTTTTAAAAATCAGATTATTAATTTGGGTTTAATATTGATTGATAAATAGATGCACAATATTCAAAAGTTAAATTGAATACAAATAATAATCAGGATAAAATATTTTTTAGATAATTTAATTTCTTTTAAATATTTTTCAATATCGTAAATCGATAAGAATCAGCTATGGATTTACAATCATGTTATCTTTAATTAGCTTAGTGTACATTATTACATTAAATATATGGGATTAGATAAGTGTAAGATATTGATTATCTAGTTTTGATTTTTGAGTAAATATATTTTAGAATAGATGTGATGTGAATGGAGTAAATAAATAGCCTCGTTAAATTCTTTCATTTATTATATAGGGAATGATATTTTTGCTAAAGCTCGAATCTTACTATATGATATTATTCGAAATATAGGGTTCTTCTATCATGAATTTCATTATTTTCTGGCATCCGCATGTTGTATTATTGAAGCGATCTTCTAAATTAATCTTAACATCTTCCTTGAGATATTGAGATATTTAGAAATAAAACTGCTCATAGATGCATTGTAAATTTTATTCATTAATTTGCATCACATTTTCCTTTAGTAAATCGAACTCATTAAATATAGATATTTCATTCACTGGTGTTTAATTATTTATTTTATTTCTAAATTATAAGTTTTTGCATCTCTACCACTTCCTATTGCTAACCAAAATGCTTATGCACTTAATGTTTTTATATTTACTGAAAACAAAGTCAGAGAGCTAGCTTTGATTGCTAATCTTTACCCATTTCCATTAAAATAAAACATAGTAGAGATTTTAGTAAAAAGTAAAATAGAATGCAATACTCCAAGTAATTGTAAAAATCAAATTAATCTACCAAATTATATAGATCGGAAGATCCAAAGAATTCAAAGCTGTACAATAACTTAACCATATTAGTAATGCTAATCTAAGAATTTAATTAATGTAACAGAGAAAAACAGGATTTTATACTTCAGCTTTATTTTGTAGGTCTATTTAGCTGCATTTACTATCCTATAAAAATTAATAATTCATATAGATACCTAGCAATAAATAAAATAGATTTTGCTCTTTATATTGGTAGTCTCTGTCTAAAGTGACAAGATTATAGAGTAAGTTCAAAAATATTATTCCTAAATAATAAAATCCCCCATTAATTCCCCATTTATCCGTGGATAATAGAATTTAAGCTAAACTCAAATAATAAGCTACATGATTAATTACAGATAAAACAGTCAATTTAAGAGAAAATTAAGTTTGTATTCTTTAGACAATGCTACACAGTAAGCCAGTGTACAGTGTTAATAAAAAGAAATTGATTAATATTATTAAAGAAATTAATGTATTTTCTAAATGCTAGAATAATCCAAGAGCGAAAAAATATATTAACTGCAATATTAGCAAAGGATAAAGCCTTCCAAAAAGTCTAAATAGCAAGTATATCTTTGAGATTACTAAATCTTCTTGATCTTTCAGCTCTTTAAAATCTAATTAGAGTATATACAAAAAGAGATCACGAAAGCTTACATTTTTTTTATATTTACTAACTTTTAAAATTAAGATCACTATTTTCTCAATACCATAAAGTACCCAATAAGCAATAGAATAACCTAGATATCCATTCAAAAATAAATAGATGGAAACTAAAATATTAATTGCATCTATCAAAAAAAATGCTAAGCAAGAGAAATTGATAATATTTTGTCTATTCATTTTAGGTTTTTAATATTTTTGAAAAAAATTAATTATTTATTTATTTATTTATTTTGAGAAAGTATTCTTTTTATGCAATAAATAAGCAAATTTTTTCTTATTACTATCAACCAAAAATTATGAAATCTAATTAATTTTTATGTGACATTAAAAAAGTAATTAAAATAAAATTTTGGGTTAGAACAAATAAATTTAGTCATCAATCATATGATAATTAATTAATTAATTCGATTTGAATTAAAAAATTTATTTATGGATACTTTATTTGCTAGAAACACTAAACCACTTTGATATTTTTCACATAAAATTTTAATTAAATAGACTTTTTTAAGTTTAATTTTTTCTTTTGTAAGTGGTTACAGTAAAATAAAATTTTATTTTGATAATCTTAACTAATTAAAATAGATTGATAGAATTTAATTTACAAGTGAATTATGCATTAATATTTCTGAGATTTTAGTATTAAAACTAAATTTGATTTATCAATGATTTTGATATCTTTTTTACTAGATTAGCAAGCAACTTACAATAAGTAAGGTAAGAAATCGCGTCTTAATATTTTTTATTATTCAAGTAAAAAAGTAAAATTTTAGTGTTTTTTTCAAGAAACAGACTATAAAGTTTATCCTTAAAATAAATTATTTTTCAAATTTAGGGTAAAATCGAATTTAAAATCTTTTAATTTTTCTAATAAAGTAAGATAAAAACTATCTTTAGAAATTAAATGGAGTAAAATAAATAATTATTTATTTATTCATTCATTCAAAAATTTGATTGATTGACTATTTCTTTATCATAAAATTTTTCTTTTATTAATTAAATTACAAAAAATATACGAAATAGAAACTAAATATTTTTTTCTATATATTCGTGAACTAAAAATGGCAATAAATTAGTGTAAAGAATATAATGTAATTTATTATATAGTGATATAAAATTTAAACCATCCCAAAATATTTAAATTTTAATTAAAAAATTAACAATTTTATTTTTAGTTTTTAAAATTTGAAGATTTATATTTCAAAAGTTGAGGTTTATTTTTTATATTTTGAAAGAAAGATAAATAGAATAATAATATTTTACAAAAAATAATTTACTCATTGAATTTAAGACAAAACTTTTTTTACTTTTATCACTATTAATTTTTTAAATCAGTTAAATTGAAAAAAAATAAAATATTTTAGTTCATTTTAAATTAATAAAAATAATGATAAAAATTTGAATAAGTTAAAAAATAATATTTTTTATTTAAATTTTAGTATATTAATTTATTCATTTCCTACTAATAAATTCTTAAATAAAATTAATAAATTACCTTTTCTAATTTATATTATTATACGTTTTTTTCATAATATAGTCTTAGTCACTTAAATTTCTAATCTTTATTTAATAAATATAATTTGTTATTATTTAACAAAATATTTTAATCAAAATAGAACTGGAAAAAAATCATATATAAATATTATGATGATCAATGAGATATTCTGATATTTATAAATTAAAGATATAAAAAATAAATATAAAATAGACAGACAATCAGACAAAAATTAATTATGAAAGCTAAATTTACTTTTTAGAAAATATATAAAATTGGTTCCGAAAATTTTAAATATTAATTTATATAAAATTTTTTTACTAATTTATCTAAATTTATTAATAAATTAAAGATATAATAGATTTATTTATAAATAATAAAAATTAAATATTTATTTGAGTGTTTCAATTCAAAAGCATTATGAATTTATTTAATTACAATACCATTCTAAAAATAAAATGAAAAAAGAAGAGTTATTAATTTTTTGTCTTATTTATTAAAAACTTAAAGGTCCTTAAAATTGTTAGCTAGTTTGTCTAATTAAAATAGAAAAATTAATGCTTACTTAATTCCTAATGATAGGGTGACTGATTAATTAATTAATATTTGATTAGGTTATTAATGATAGATTGTATTTTAACTATCTATAACTTTTCTTCAATAAAAATTTGGATCTAATTTGATTTTGTTAATTTTTAAATGGCTTTTCTGGTCAGGGTTATATTTAATTAAAGCTTTAAAAAACTAAATTAATTTCAATAATAAAAATAACAGAATTACAAATAATATTTAATGGCTAAATTGTTAGTATTTATCTTAATAGCTTTATCCTTCTCATAAGCTTATGAAATATGTAGTACTAAAGGTGCTATATAATATTATTGCCCAGATGGGTAAGGTTGCTGTTCTGACACTACCTGCAGTGTTTATTGTTCAGGCGGTGGAAGCGGTGGAGGAAGTGGTTTTCCCTGGTATGGTTATCTTTTAATTGGTATAGGCATTGTTATTCTTATAGCATTTATAAAGGTATGTCCTAGATTTTGCAGAAAGTAAAAAAGATAAAGACAGTAATAAGAGCAATTATTATAGGCTTGACCAATATAAATTAAACATAATTAATAAAACTATTCCAAAAAATATGTAAATAATGATAAGTCGGAATAATATCTTTAAATATAAATAAATGAAGCAATAGTTTAATTTATATAAAAAATTTTATATAATGTAGTTTCTCATATGTTAAAAATTAATTTAAAAATATTTACAACTTTTTTAAAATTCATGTAGAATTTTTAATGTTTTATAAAATATATTTTTGGTTTTTAAAATTTTAAGATTTACATTTCATAAGTTGAGGTTGGATTGTTTGTTTTTTAATTGAAAGATAAATAGAATATTAATATTTTACAAAATAAAAATATTATTGATTGAGTTTAAAACAAAATATTTTTTAATTTTATCACTATCAATCAATTTTTAAATTAGTTAAATTGAAAAAAACAAACAAAATATTTTAATTCGTTTTAAAGTTTATTAAAATAATAATAAAATTTTTTTTTATTTTAATATCAGTACATTCATTTATTCATTTCTTTCTAACAAATTATTAAATAGAATGAATACCTACATTTTCTAATTTATATTATAATAAATGTAGTAATAACCTTTTTTATAATATCAACTTAGTAACTTAATTTTCTAATCATTATTTAAAAAATATAATTTATTATTATTTAATAAAATAATTTTGTATAAAATAAAACCTCGAAAAAAATCATTTATTTATTTATTAATAGTATCTAAGAATGATGATCAATCAGGTTTTCTGATATTTCAAATTAAACATGTAAAAAATAAATATAAAATAGACAGACAAAAATTAATTAGGAAATATCAATTCACTTATTATAAAATATATTCGGTTTAGTAAATAAAAATATTAACTTCTCGATTTATTTATAATTGATAAAAATAATAGATTTATTTATAAATAATAAAAATTATAAATTTATTTGAGCATTTCAATTCAAACGCGTTATTAATTTATTTAATTAGAATACCATTCTAAAAATAAAATGAAAAAAGAAGAGTAATTAATTAAATGTCTTAATTGTTAAAAACTTAAAAGTCCTTGAAGTACTTTGCTTGCTTATTTATTTATTTGTCTGCCTGATTAAAATAAAAAAATGAATACTTCATTCTTTTTGATAGATTGACTGATTAATTAATCAATATCTGATTAGGTTATTAATGTTTTAATCTATCTATAACTCTTCATAATTCTTTCTATTTTAATAAAAATTTGGATCTAATTTGATTTTTTTAATTTTTAAAGGGCTGTTTCTGGTCAGGGTTATATTTAATTAATTAAGGTTTTAGCAAGCTAAATTAATTACAATAATAAAAATAACAAAATTACAAATAATATTTAATGACTAAATTGTTAATATTTATCTTAATAGCTTTATCCGTCTCATAAGCTTATGAAATATGTAGCACTAAAGGTGCTATATAATACTATTGTCCAGATGGCTAAGGTTGCTGTTCTGACACTACATGCGGTGTTTATTGTTCAGGAGGTGGAAGCGGTGGAGGAAGTGGTTTTCCCTGGTATGGTTATCTTCTCATTGGTATAGGTGTTCTTATTCTTATAGCATGTATAAAGGCATGTCCTAGAATTTGCAGAAAGAAAAACAGATAAAGACAATAATAATAGCAATTATTGTAAGCTTGATCAACATAGATTACAAATAAATAAATAATCAAGCTATTCTAAAAAATTACAACTAGAATATCTTTTTAAAAATAACTAAATAGTGATTAGTTGAAATAATATCTTTATATATAAATAAATGATGAAATAGATAAATTTATTATCAAGTTTTTATATACTGTAGGTTTTTTCTAATATATTAAAAATTATTTAAAAATATTTAAACTTTTTAAAAATGAATAATTTTTTTAGCCATTTATTTTGAGTTTAAAATCGTGATGAGTGTAATAAATATTACAGTAAAATAAAATAGAAGTAAAGTTTCTTTATTAAATGTAATTAATTTACACTTTATTAATATTATTTTATTTAAAGCATGTTTATTTAATTTTTTTTTATAACTCTAAACCTAAATATTTAATAAATTATTTTAAAATAATTACTCAATTGAATTTATATTTATTTTTAACTAAATTAAAATCTGAAATGAATTAATTACTTGAATTTTAAGGATAGAAATCAGACTTATCCTCTTTGCTTTAAAAATAAATAGTAAATTTATTTATTCCTAATTTTTATAATTAAATAAAATAAAACTATAAAAATTAATTGATGCTTTAGATTCATTATCAGAAAAAGTCATTTAATGATTTCTAAATTCTTAAATTAAATACTTTACCATACCTTCCCTTTAAATTTTTAATGTACAATAATATGAAAAAAATAATTTTTTAATTTACATTTAACAATTTGATATAAAATGATTAATAAATTGCTAAAAAATAAAATAACTAACAAATTATTAACTTAGTTTACTACAAGTAAAAATTAACTCTTATCAAATAGATAAATTTAGATTGAGTAATTTTTTTTAATTTTCTTGTTAATCGATTTTTATGGATGTAAACTGATATATAATTTAATAAATTGAACTTCTTCTTTAGCTTAACTTAAAATCCTATTTTTATCATATTTTTAGATGAAAATTTGTAAAATAAAATTAAATATTATATAATGCTTCATATGCTAATGATTTATAAGTATAAAATTTACTAGTTGTCTATCATAAATATACACTTATAAAAATGAAATTTATAAATCATTGAAAGAATTTATTTTTTTAAATGATAATGTAATAAATGCAAACAAATTTAAAATCTTATTTTACAAATTATTTAAAATAGCAATAAGCAAAAAAACTAAAACTTTATAAAACATTAAATAATCATAAAAATAAATTATCTGCTGAATTTAAATTTACCATATAAATTGATGGCTGTAAATTACTTTTTTCTTAATTCACTCATTAATGCAGAGATCAAAATTAAATAGAAAATATTAATTAATATTACATTATTTGGATTTTTCTTAATTTGAAAGAAGTGAATATTAAATGAGAGTTTAAAAATATATTTATTTAAGATAATCTTTATCAGACTCATTTCATAAATCAATAATTTTGATAAATTTTATTTGCTAAAATGAAAGAGGAATTAATTTCGTACTTTAGTTTCTCATAATCTAATTAAAAAAACATTTTCAATTAATTTCTTTGCGATATCAAGTTACAAATACTTATTGGTTATAAGATTAAATGCTTTGTGGAATAAAGCTAAATTTAATATCAAAATTAGTAAAATATTTTTTGGTAAGTAAAATTATACATATAAAATCTGATTGAATAAATTAGAACAAAAATATAAAGAAAATATTATTATGTATGTAATGATGATATTTTATTATAAGAATATAGAGAGCATTACTAAATTATAGAAGTTTATTTAATGAATTTATTTTAAAATCAAACAATAGAAAGTATCAATAAATGAAGTTTATTATATTAAAGTTTGTTAAATTATTATTAATACTCATCTTATTTTAAGTGTAATAAAGTTATCAGGTTAAATACCATAGACAAATTTGCTTCTAAATTAAATTTTTTGGTTTTCATTTGGTAAAATATCATAATTTATTAGAATATATGAAAGAATGCACTTTGCCTCAATAATTGCTAGATGTTGTCCTATGCAGTTTCTTGGTCCAAGAGAAAATGGAGTGAAATTTATTGAATTTTGTCTATAAGATATAATTTTATTAATTTGAATGAATAAATTAATTAAATAAAATATTAATTACTCTTGTGCGTTCATCCATCTATTTGGATCAAATGTTTCAGGATTTGGATACAATTTAGGATTCATTTAACTTGAGATAAAGTAGGTTCCAACAGGAGTTCCTTTTTTAATAAAGAAGTCTCCTATTTAAAAATCTTAAACGCATATTCTTGAAAGAACGTTTGGGGCTGGAGGAATCAACCTTAGAGTTTCTTTTAAAATTGAATTGAGGAAGTTCATATTTGACAGATCTTATAAAGTTAGTGAAGCTAGCTTTTCCTCTAAATTTTCATTTAGTTTTTTTTGGGAAAGTACTTTAAGCACTTCTTCTCTAGCTTAGTTTTAAATTGTAAGATTGAGTGACAAATAATATAAAGCACTGCCTACTAAATTACCAGTTGTATCTGTACCTGCGAAGAATAGACTTAAGGAGTTCTATATAATTTCTTCATCTGTAATGCTTTAATTATTGTTTACTATTACTTCTTTTAAATATTAATCTAAAAAATTGTATTTGTATAAAGTTGGATTTTTGATCAGTTATTCCTTTCTTTGGCTAATTATTAATTTGCAAGCCTTTTTAAGATCTATGAATCTTTATTTAATTTCCCTTTCTTTATTAGTAGGGAGTACTTCTAGTACGTTTTAACCTAAAATTACGAATTTAGCAAACAAAAGATAATTTGATCTAAACAAAACTTAGAAGCTTTCTATTGAACTAATCATTTCATCAGCTATAGGGATCTCTTTCCCATCAGGTTTAGAGACTTTTAAATTTGTAGAGCCAAAAAAAATTCTAAAAACAACTTCTTATGTGATGTTTTAGCAAGTCTTGACGATTTCTATTGACCTATCTGGTTAACTTTCTATCTTCAATTTTACTTTTTAAAGTTCCTCCTTTGTCACTTACTTAATGTCTTGTAAGTAGTTTTTAATCTCGTCAAAGTGGAATGATTTTCCTAAAAATTATCTTTAGCGCTACCATTCCTTTCCTGTTTTAAAGAGTAGAGAATCTTAAAATAAATATTTTATAATAGGATTGCTCATCTATTTTTAGAAAACCTCTGGATTTTGATGCACTTGCTTGATAAGTTCAGGATCTACAAATATATAACCCAGCTATCCTTTTGCATTTTTGTATAAGATCAATTTAACATCTTAGTTTTTCTTGTAAATGTTCCTGATAGAATATATATTATCATCATAATGCTTCAAATTATATTTTTCTTCTCTAACCAAGCTCGGGCCTAAATGGACTATAGATTCAATTTAATTCGGATGCTTCCTCTTTAAAATCATGATTTTTATTATTGGAATAAAGTGCAGTTTAACAATAATAATAGTCAATACAGCGAAAACTGTGATTAAAATAGCCATGATCATTATATTCTAATATATATAAAGACAGATTGATTACAAGCAATTTTAATAAGCTTAACCTTTTCGAAGAACTATTTTGCCTGATTTTTAATTATAAAGAAATAATTCGCTTTATAGCTTAATAGTAAACAAATTAATTCAAATTAATTTTATTATTATTTTTTGGTTGAAATTTTTTTTTAATATTCTAATTATTATATCAAATTTTAATTATTTTCTACTCATATTTAATGGGGATTTATATTAGGGTTTGCATACAATTTATTGTAAATATTTATTTTGTTTAAATTAAAAAACAATATAATTTAATAGTATGTTCATATGGAAAGTAGTGTCCATCCCTTTATCTATTTCTATTTTTAAATACTATAAAAGATTAATTACCGTAAATCCTCATAAATTCTCATCGGCATAGATTTTAACCATATTTTCTGAATATTTATAAAAAGATTGAAATTTACTCAAATGTAACAAAAGTTTAATTTTAGGGTATGCTAATTAAAAATAGCAGTATATGCTTAATTATGTTTATATTGATTGTTTATTGATAAAGTTAGTAAGTAGATTATGATAATTCCATTTTTATTTTTGGCCAATTTTTCAAGTAACTTAGTAACTTGAATTAATTAAACATGATATAAATAAAAACTTATTCAAATTTCTCTGTTTTGAATTAAGGTGATTTAAAAAATAAAATGCTAGAGCAAAATAAATTTAGAACATTAGAAGATGTAAGTATTAATAATAAATGATTTTTATTATAAAATTTAATTTATTTGCATCAAAAGTTTTAAGACTCTGATTTGTCATCTCTTACTAATGTTCTTATAAATTTAGTGTAAACATTTTTTATTACCTTAATTATTATCAATTTATTAAAAAATTTAGTATTTAAATTAATGGAATTACTTTTCTTTTAAGATTAATTATTTAAAAATGAAATATCTCTTCTTTATTTTATATAAATTAATTTTATTTTACATTAAAAGATTCTAAGAAATCGGTGATAAATCTATATTAAGCCTACAGTCTGCTTTAGAAAATTGTACTTAGCTTTAGAGCTTATAGCTTAGTTTAAAGTAATAATTATTTTTATTACTTAACCGTTATTTAAAAGCCAAACATCAAATCATAATTAAAAAATATATTTTTTCTCATTTATTTAAATTATAAATCTTCTTTTTTTTTATTTTAAAATCTCAAATTAAATTTGAAAAATCTATAATTTATAATTTAATTATTAAAACTATATATTTGATAAATAATAAATTAAAATTATAACTTCTAATTAATAAATTATTTTTTCCTTTAATACAAATTTTTATTTTTTAATTAATTTTAATGCTTTCAGATTTAATTTTTATTGAAGTTTCTTAATATTTTTTTTAAATAAAAAACACTAAAAGTCGAAATAATATTAAAGCGAAGGGCGCATTTAGCTTAGGCTCAGCTTTAGTTAAATGCAGTAAACTAAAAAATTTGAGTATTCATTTAGAGTAATTTGCTTTTTTTAATTTTTACTTTTATAATAAATTAATAGTTAAATTTCACTGAATGATCAAGCTAAAATTTTTAAGTTTAATTATTTTAGCTTTATTTTAGAAATTTAACCCTGATCTTCCATTTTGGTTTATTTGGCAATTTCTTTATTAACATTTTTAAAAGTTAAAATTAAATTGACGACGAAGGTATTTAGTCTTTAAGCAAAGCCTTATTAAACTGTAAAAATCTCTAGAATTTAAAGCTTAGTTTAAAGTAAAAATAAATAAATTACCAGTTTTTTAATTTAATTTTAATAAAATTTACTTGAATTAATTTAAAGATACAAAATAACTAACATAAAAGTTATTGTTTTTAAATTATAAATTTTCTTAAAAGCAAAAATAATATAAGTGAAGTTGGATAGTCAAGTTTAGGTTTAAATTTAGCAAGCTGTTCAAACCTTTAAACCTTGAATCTCATTTTGTAAATTATTCTTCTACTTTTTTTAAATTAATAATAATTTTTTGTTTTACAAAATAAAAACTAGGAGTGAGGAAGAAAGAAATGGTGTTTTAAGCCTAAGTTCTCATTTAAAATGCTCTCCTACTTTATAAAACTTAACTATAAATGTTTGGTAATAATTATACAATTTATCAATTAATTATATAAATAACAAATATTTACTGAATTTAATAATTAATTACCAATAAATAACAAGATATAAACTTATTTTATAGTTAAATTTTTAATAAATTTAAATAATTATACTTTTTTAATTACAATAAAATGGTAAATTAAACTTAGTATTAATTCAAATTTAATAATAGTAAAATTGGAGAAAAAATTGCTTTGGGCTTGTGTTCTGATCTATCAGAATGTCAGAATCTTCATTACTTGTCACTTTGCTTCAGGTAAAATTTATTAAATATTTTGATTTATTTAAATAATAAAATTAATTTTTATTAAGCTTCTAAGAATGTAATTTTTCTTTGCAAATATGATTTTTTTATTTTACTTTAAAAAATTAAAAAATTTGAAGTTATAGTGAGATAACTGATGAATGTGCATTAGGGATAGGTACAGCTTTGGCTAAATGCAAAAATCTTTAATGTTTGCATCTAGATTTTTAGTAAAAATATACTTATTTAATTTTATTTAGTTACTTCTAAATTAGTTGATTAGAGATGAGAAAAAAAATATTTATTTAAAAAAACTAATTTTTAAATGAAATTAATATTTTTATCAATAAAATTTATACCTTTTTTAATTTTATAAGCTGGAATCATATTCGTGGAAATGGTGCATCAGGTTTAGTTTCATCGTTTACAGACTGTGCTAGTCTTTAACATTTAACTATAGATTTCAAGTATAAAAAACATTTAATATATAATTTATTTAATTTAATTATTTTTGAAGAGTTGATATAAATGATTATTTTTAAAAATTTTTTAACTGATTAATTACTCTAAACCTAATTAATTAAGAGGGAGCTTCTTAAATTTATAGCCAAAAAAAATTTGTTAGGCATTCATTAACTAATATAAAAAAATATTCTGTTGAGCAAATATAAAATTAAAATAAAACCCTATCAATTTTAATTAATTAAAAAATAAAATTAATAATTTAAATAATTTTTTCAACTTCCTACACTTTATAGATTTAACAAATTAAAAATTATTTAGTTAATTAATTTATGATAAAATAATAAAAGTATGAATATCATAGGAAGCTAAGGTCTCAAAAATTTAGGCAAAGCATTTACAAATTACTCCACTCTTATTACTTTAATGCTTGATCTTAGGTAAAATATATAATAATTAAAAATTTTTTGGAGTTGGATTGATATTAATTAGATAGTTTTTCTAATAAATTACAAAATTTTAACAAAAATAATTTAAATAAAATTAAAATATTTATTCAAACTAAAACAATTTTTTAATTTGTTAATCATTTTTAAAGGGATAATGATCTGGATTAGTAAAGTCAAACCAATTTTAAGAGTAGACTCAATAAAATTAAGAGATTAGTTAAAAAATAGGTTTTATTCGTTTATTGATTTTAGAAAATTGCTGAATGTTGCTTAGTTATTATATAGTATTAATTAAGAAATAAATATATTTTTTTGTTTGTTTATTGAAACAAACAGATCTGATTGTATTTAAATTAAATAATAAATATACTTCTTACATTTTAAAGTTTATTTACAATTTTTAAAGTAAACTATTTAAATATTCATAGAAAAAATAATTGTAAATAAAAATAATAAAATCTTTTTAAATTTAATTTTGAAAATAAAAATAATTAAAATTATTAAAATATGTTTTTTAAGGAAAGAAATATATTGAATACAGATTTTTTACTGATTCAAAATGGTTTTTATTATTAATTAATTATTTTATTATTTTAAATGTAATATTAATGATCTTGATTGATGCATTAATAAGAAAATTATAACTAATAGCTTTATTAATACATTCACATTTGAATTATCCTATTTATTTTTTCAAAATATTGTTTTCTAATTATCAAATGTATATTTAGAGAACTAATAAATACTTTTTAATAAAATATACTTTTAAAATAAATAAATATGATTTATAAACAACTTGACAAAAAAAGAGAAGTTATATATTAACAAACATTTAACTTTTTGACATTGAAATCATATTTTTTTATTCATATTGTTTTAACTTATAAATTTCAAAGAAAAATTATGAATATTTTTTAAAAATAAATAGAGCAAATTGTTATTTTTTTAAATAAAGTTTTTGTATTTTAAATATTTCATTATTTTTTCAATAAAATAATTCTAAAATTGTATTTAAATTAAGTATTACTAATATTTTTTACTCTTTAAACATTCTAACTCAAATTCCACCAGTTTTTTTGAAGCTCTGCTTGTGTGAAACAATAAAAAAAAAGTTAATATCATATAATTTTTAGATTTATTGGGTCATAAGAATACAAAAGGAATCATATTTTTTTTTCTAGATTTTTTTTAGGAAGTTTAATTAAATAAATGTAATCAAGGATTGGTACTTATAAAAATTGGGGTGGGGGGGAGTCCCTCCTGTAACTCTCCTACAAAATTAAAAAAAAAAAAATATAAAAATAATAATAAATCTATCTTTATTTTAGGTAAAATTATCCATTTACAAAATTTTATTAAATAAAACATATTATATTATAGTATTCAAACATATTTATATTTATTAATGAGTTCTTATTTTCGCCACTTTTTTATCATCAATGATTTATTTTTAAAATTACTAATCTTTTTGATTTAAGGCAGTTTACTTTCATTTATTATGATTGGTAGATTTTGTTATAACTTTTAATATAAATTAGAGTAAATTGTTAAGAAAAATTAATAGAATAAGATTTTAAGTAATTATTATATTATAAATCAATAAATAAAAAAACTTTAGCATATTTAAAAATAAATAGAAAAATAAATCATTTAAAAAACTAATAAATAAATTAAAAAAGTTAGTTAGTAATATTGTTTTAAATTATTTTTATGTTCAAAAATATCACGATCCAAAACAAATAGACTGTTTTTACAATAGAAGAAGTGTCAAGTTTGATAGATTAATGCACTTTCCTAAGCCAGAACCTAAGCCTTTTGCACCAATTTCGCTAATTTAATTTCTCCTTTTTAAATATTGAAGAAAAAATATATAGTTAATTAGTTAGTTAAAAAGAAAAATTAATAAAAAAAATGATAAATAAGAAATTAATTAACAAAATAATAATAAAATCAAAGTTGAAAATAAAAAAATGAGTTAAATTAACAAACAAATAAAAAAATAAATAAATAAGAAACACAAAAAGAATAATAAAAGAAATATATATTAAATAAAAGGTAAAATAAATTCAAAGAGTTAATTTTATTGTTTTAAATTTATAAATATCACAATCTAAACAGAATAATTTGTTTTTACTAAAGAAAAAGTGTTAAATTTTAGAGATTAATGCACTTTCCTAATCCAAAACCTAATCTTAATGTACCCTCATCACCAATTTAATTTCCTCTTATTAAATAGTGAAAGGAAAAAAAGAGTTAATTAGTTAAATAAAAGGAAGTAATAAAGAAAAAATAAGAAGTAATAAAACATTAATTAATAATAAAAGCTAAAGTTGTAGATTAAAAAATGGGTTAAACTAACAAAAAAAACAAAGAAATTAAAGAAAAAAAAATTTAAACATAATTAAAAAATGAAAAGCTAATAAATACATCAAAAAAGTTAGTAAGTAATAAATATATTATTTTAAATTTATTTTTATTTTCAAAAATAAATATAATAATTCAAAGCAAAAAAATATATTGTACGAAAGATCTAATGTCAAATTTGAAAGATGAGTACAATTTCCTAAACCATAACCTAAGCTAGATGCACCCCCATAACCAATTTGATTTCCCCTTTTTAAATATTAAAGAGTTAATTTGTTAGTAAGAAGGAAAAAATGATGAATAAATATGAATCAATTAATAATAAAAGCAATAAAAGAATAAATGAGTTTATTTAACAAGTAAACAAACAAATTAATATAAAAAAAACAAGGAAAATAAATAAAAATGAAAAGTAAATCAAATAGAAGGCTAAATAAATTAAAAGAATTAGTTATTTTGTTATCAATTTATTTTTTTTCTTTCAAAATTATCACAATCCAAAATAAATAAACTGCATTTACGAAAGATCAAGTGTTAAATTTGATAGATTAGTGCACTTTCCTAATCTAAAACCTAACTCAGATGCGCCAGCTGCAATTTAATTTGTGATATTAAATTAAAGAAAAAAGAAAAAAAATTTGAAGGCCTAGTCTTCGTCTTTAAATGTGTTATATAAATATATTTGGAATTTTTTTTTACATATCCTGTATGACTAAATCATAAAAATTCAAAGTAATAAGTTAAGTGGTGAAAAATGGATGATTAAATATTAAATATTTGAATAATTGAATATTATATGTTCTATACTACTCATTAAAATAAATATTGTAAAAAAATTAAATATTTTTAACATTTAGTTAATATGTATGTATGTAATAAAAGCAGTGAAATTTTTCTTCATAAATCAATATAGAAGATTTTATCAGTAAACAATATTTAAGAAATTAAATTTTCTTGAAAAAATTACTAATTAAATTTAACTCTAATAAGATCAATTAATTTTAAAAATATTCAGTAAAAGTACATTTAAAGAGGTAATAGTAATTAATCCTAAGCAATTATAACTTCTAAATATTCATTCACAATTTAATAGAACTAAACGCTTGAATTTATATAATTAATTTTATGTGTATCTTATTTGTATTAGATTTGATTAAAAGCTTATGCTTTAACTAGAAAAAACTATTTCAATTTACCTTAAAGATTGAATTATCTTTAAAGAGTTAATAAGTTAATTCAATCTAGACTTTTCAATTAAGCGTAGTTTAAGAAGTTTAACAATAGTCAAGCCATTCATATTTTTAATTGATAAGCTCAAATTTTCATAAAACTCTTGACCTATGTTTACACAGTTTTCTAAGCTAACATTTAATTCTTTCAAATTTACTAAGAACTACAAATCAGAAGCCATTGACTCTAGGCTTTAAGCTGAGAGATTTTTGCATTCATCTAAAATAATACAAAGCTATTAAAGGCTGATATGCAATTACTTATTTCCTAAAAATTATATATTTTTAATTTCTTGGATATCTCCAAAATCAAATTATAGACTTTTTATAAATTCACACTCTGAAATAGAATATCCTAATATATTGATTGATTAATCATTTATATTACAGTTATATACGTCTATGGATAAATTATTTAATTATTTCAGGTTTTAAAAAACTTAAAACAACTTATTAATTTCATTTGTTTTTATTTTCTTGCAGCCTCCTAAACTCAAAGATAGAGTACTTAAATGGGATAAACCCAATAAAGTTTCAGTTAATCCATCAAGGCTTTCTATATTTGATAAGTAGTGAAATGACAGATCTAATTCTTTAAGCTACAGCTTATTTCTCAAACTATTGCTTAAATAATCTACACTTTCTTAAGTTATTTATTTATTCCATCCCATTTGAAAGCAGAATCTTTTCAGAATTTCATTTTTAGAAATAATTTGACACAATTCAAGAACATATTCATTTTTTAAATTAGTACAAAAGTAAAAATCAAGTAAAATATCATTTAGATGACTTTAGGTTTAAAGACATTTAGCAATCTGTGATAGAGATTCTTCTTCTATATCATTACAATACCTAAACACAAGGCAAAGTGAATTGAGGCTTTTAATCTAACTTAAAAATTCATTTAAACCTTTAATTTGTTTTAAATCTTAATGTTCCATATATGATATGTAAATTTTTTTCAAGTTTGAAAACCTTGAAATTTAGCTACAGTACAAAGAAAAATCAACTGACTCTAATTCAGTATTTTTACTAAATAATTTTATTTCCTTGGTAAAGTAATCTTCTTATGATTTAATTCTCATTAAATCTTCAAGGCTAGCTATTTCCAGAGAATTTTGTTTTTTATCATCCATTTTTTAAATTAAATAGTTTTTCTTTTTAATCAAATTACTTAATGTATATTGTTTTACAAAAAATAAACACCCACCAAATCATAAAAAATAGATAATTTCTATTTATATTTGTCATAATAATAATAATATAGAGAGTGACTAAACTTAAATATTTATTTATTTTTATTAATGCAGAAAAATCCTCGAAACACTTTGAGGGTCTGTCTGTCTCTTTTAAGTAAAATTTATTTTATAAAGTATTTAAAAAAATTTTTTTATTTTATAAAAAATAAAATTTGCTTAACTTAAAATTAATAATCTTTACTTAGAACAATATACTGTAAATGCTCATTAATTAAGGCATTCCCTAAGTATCTTTTTAGCCCAAAAAAAAGTGCCATAATTCACAAATTTGGAACTATATCCCTCCCTCCCTGACTACAATAGATCTAAGATAAATTATAGTAAAGATTAAACAATAAACTAATAAGAAAGAATATTAGAGTTAAGGAATAAATGTTAATAAGCATAATAATAATGAGAGTTTAATATAGAAACTTAATTAATAAATACTACTGATTTCATTAAGTAGATTTTTATAAAATTTATTTTTAAATAGGTCAATGGAATTACAGATTTTAAGTATAATTTAAATTCTTAATATTAAGATAGTTCAAATTTTATTTATATTTATTCTTCTTTTTATTAAAATTTAGAATGGTGAATTAAAATAAAAATTTCAAGGAATATTAATTATTATAAAAAGTTTTAAAATGCAAAAGATATAAAAAAAACATTTTGAAAAATAAAATAATAAAAAACTCACAAATAAATTAAAGAAGTATTGAAAAATAAATAATCATTTAAATAAAAACAAATAATAAAATGTTGATAATTCCAATAATTATTTCTCAACTTTATTATAAAATAGATCTATAGTTCATTGAAAAATATAATCAATTATATTGGCTTGTTAACAATAATTGATATAATTGCATATGCATATCAATTTAAAACAAAAAAATTAAAATCATTTTTAATTTAAATGAAAAAGAATATATTTTGATTTATAAATTAAAATAAATATTATTGAATAAATTAATTATAAATTTTTAATTTCTCTAAAATCACTTAATTTAAAAGTTAATATTTTTTAATAAACTAAATATTTATGCAAGCTATTTAAATTTTTATTTTTTATTGTTTTAAAGTTAATTACAAAGGATTTACTAATATTTTCAAATACTTAATAAAAAAAGTTGATCATTCTTTTACTTCCTAAACTTTATTCCTCCTATTACTAATTCAAATTAAGATACTTAGCTTCAGAGTTCTAATGGAAATGATATGTTTACCTTAATATGGAAGACAAAAAAACTAATTGTGAAAAAAACTTAAAATTATTCAATTTATTTTCTTTTAAAAAATAGAAGATAAATTTTCAGGAAATAATATATTTTTTTCATTTTAAATTTATTAGTTAAAATAAAAAAGGTTGTCGACACTGGGACTTCCCAAGCGGTCCCCCACCTTAGTACTAACCCAGCCTTAAGGCGCTTAACTTCGGAGTTCGAATGAGATCCGGTGTTTTCACCTTAGTATGGCCGACAACAAAACTAATTGCAAATAATAACTATTAATATTTCAATATTTATTTTTAAATCAAATTATTTATTTAAAGTAATAGATTTTTTTTCAAATAAAAATTTAAAGTAGATTTAATTAGTTATATAAAAAAGGTTGTCGACACTGGGACTTCCCAAGCGGTCCCCCACCTTAGTACTAACCCAGCCTTAAGGCGCTTAACTTCGGAGTTCGAATGGGATCCGGTGTTTTCACCTTAGTATGGCCGACAACAAAACTTATTCTAAAGAATAAATATTAATAACTAAATAATTATAATTTAGTAATTTTAATAAAATTTTTTAATAATAGATTTAAACTAAAATTTAATCACAAAAATATTTATTAGTAAAAATAAAAAAGGTTGTCGACACTGGGACTTCCCAAGCGGTCCCCCACCTTAGTACTAACCCAGCCTTAAGGCGCTTAACTTCGGAGTTCGAATGGGATCCGGTGTTTTCACCTTAGTATGGCCGACAACAAAATAATACTAATTATTAATCTTTTGTTTTATTCTATCATTTTTAAGCTATTCAATTTAATTTCACAAAATTACTATAATATCGATAATTAAACTATTAACTGTTCTAATAAATAATATAAATTAATCTTAAAGTATTTGATTTATGCAAATTCCATCAATTTATAAAAATAATTCTTTAAAATTTACTAAAAATATAAAATTATGTATAAACCTTCTAATGGAATTTATGTGCTATTTTCCATAGTAAAATATAATTTTTAGGAGGTTACTTACATTTTAACAATAATATCCAAAAACTTCTACTTTCAATTTAAATTAAAATACTGCATAAGCACTAAAAAAATATTAAATAGAATAAATTTACATAATAAAAAATATAAAGAAACAAGATTTTTAGAATTTAAAAGTAAATACCTATTTCACAAAAAAAACAAAAAATTTAAAAAACAAAGATCAATAAAAAATTCTATGATTTATTATATTTAATTTCAAAGTATAATTTTTTTAAAGAAAATTAGATTGTCTTTCTTAAACCCATATACTAAGTTGTTTTCTCTTATCAATTATTAATTAGTATTTGGTAATATTTAATAATTTAAAAGTATATAGACTAACATACATTTCCCTTCTATCATAGCTAAGTGTTAGCCAATACAGTTTCTAGGTCCTAATGAGAAAGGAGTGAAATTGTATGCATTTTATTACCTTTTTTTTAAAAAAATTGAATAAAATATTAATTAATATAAAAATTAAAGAAATATTGTAATAATTAATTACTCTTTGCCATTCATCCATCTTTAGGGATCAAAGATATCAGGATTTGAGAATATTTCATTATTAGACTAATTATATATAAAATGCGAAGTTACAATATCTCCCTTTTTAATTTCAAATTCTCCAATTTTAATGTCCTATACTGCTTCCCTTGGAAAAACATCAATGGCAGGGGGAATTAATCTGAGAGACTCCTTTAAAATTGAATTTAATAAATTCAAACTTGCAAGATCATCAAAAGAAAAAGAATCAAAAAGGTATTTAGGATCTTTGGATGCAGTCTTTTGGGAAAGTTTTTATAGTATTTCATCTCTTGCTTGCTCTTAAATTTGTGGGTTAACTGAAAGATAATATAATGCAACCCCAGTCATATTTCCAGTTGTGTCAGTTCCTGCAAAAAATAATGTTAAATAATTATCAATGATTTCTTCATAGGTAATTTAGGTGTTTTAATTCGTAATCATTTCTATTAAATATAAATCTAAGAAATTCTATTTTACTAAGCTAATATCTTAAGAAAGCTAGTCATTTCTCTTTTTTATAACATTAAGACATGCTTGCTTTATCGCAATCAAGCGATCTTTGAGCTGCTTTTCACTTTTTGTTGTAAAATATTTAGTACTATTTTTTTCTAGAAATATCCACTTAAGTAAGGCTATTTTATCTGTCTCAAATATCTACATAGAATCAACAATAGCAGATATAAGTTCTTCAGCTACTTTTATTTGATGGCCTTTCTAAGTAGTTATGACCAAATTTTAAGAAGTTGATCCAAAGAATATTTAAAACACAACTTCTGATGTTACTTTTTGGCAAATCTAAACAGCACATATTTCTTCATTTTCAGATCCATTTAGATTGATATTTCCAAATACATTTTCTGAAATCTATTTAATTTGTGGAAGATAATTTTTTATTTCTTCAAAGTGGAAGGATTTACCCAAAAACTATCTTTAGCGCTACCACTGCTTTCCTCTAGCAAATATAATTGAATCTCCAAAAAGATAGGTTATAGCCATAGATACATCGACCTTTTTGAATGCGTCATGATTTTAGTGGAATTGTTTAATAAGCATTGGATCTAAGAAGCTAATGCAAACTTTTGTACTGAAGTTAAATGCAAGTGCTTTCAAGTTTTTTTAGTGCAGATTACGCATAAAATATACACTATCATTGTATTTAAGTAAGTTATTCCTATACTCTGCTAATAAACCTTCACCTACATAGAAGTAGGTTTTGACTTTATCTCCATATTTTGATTTAATAGCTGCTAGTCTTAGCTTAGGATAAAAAACCAGTTTATATAGCAACACCAAAAATGTGAGAATTATTATTCCTAAAATAGAATAAAAGAGTGTACCTATCATCTTAATATTTTTTTAACTTTATATTTATAATATTTATGGTATACAAGATTATAGATTTAAAGTCAGTTATCATGTAATTAAAGCCTCAAAAAAATAAAACCTCTCATCATTTCTGGTAGAATTTTATTTATCTTAATTTTTGATGTGCAATATTAATCAATTAACATAGAAAAATTAGTAATAAATTACTCAAAAATTAGTAAAATCTGATATATTCTAAGATGATAAATTTATTTGATTTTTCCTAAATAAGAAATAGCTTGGTTATTAATAGCAGACAGACAGACAGAAAACAATTGAATATTATTGTATAGATTCACAAAGATTTATTCTAATAAAAAGTAATAAGTAAAATAAAAAAATTTTCTGCTCATTTATTTATTAGTTTCTCTTTATATTATTTTAAAAATTATTGTGTTATTAGATCGAATAACAATATCACATTAATTTAAAGTTATTAAATATTTTTTTAAAATCATTAATTTTACTTTGTTTTATCTTTATAATTTGCTTTGATATGTTAATCAGTTTGATAATTACAAACAAAGAATAATTTGTAATAAATTTCTCAAAAATTAGTAAAATCTGATAGATTCTTATTTTACAAGTCTCTTTAGATTTTATTTAAGGATATATTTCTTATATCAAAGGCTAATTAAATATAGTGGAGATTGGTATTTCCGCCCCCCAATTTCACTCCATTCATTTCATTTCCTCTCCCCTCTAAATTAAACACATATTTAAATATTTATCATAATTAAATTACAAGACACACTAAATTGCATTAATATCTCAAATTTGACACTTGATCTTAGGTAAAAACAGTTAATTTGTTTGTTTTTGGATTGTGATATTTTTAATTAAAATAAATAATTTAAAACAATAAAACTCTTTTTTCTTTTGCTTTTTTTGTTAATTTAACTGATTATTTTATTTTCAACTTATTTTTTATTATTAATTAATTAATCTTATTATTTCATATTTTTTCTTCATCTTTTCCTTCGAATGAACTTTTTAATTTTTTATTTTTTCTTCAATATTTAAAAATTTTGAATTTAATTGCTATAATAGGTGCATCAGGCTTAGGTTCTGTTTTAGCAAATTGCATTAATCTCTCAAATTTGACACTTGACCTTTAGTAAATAAAGACAGTTTATTTGTTTTGGATTTTGATATTTTTAACTATAAAAATGAATATAAAACAAAAAAGAATTATGAATTTATTTAATAGCTTTTATTAGATTTTTTTTATTATCTTTTTTACTCCATTAACTAATATTATATTAATTAAAAAGTTTTTTTTATTTAATATTTATTTAAAATTTACACAAAATTATTTTTAAACTTTTAACTCTTTAACTAAATCATAAAAATTTAAAGTACTAATCAAGTGTTTTAAATCAGCAAGATTATCAATTGTCTTAGAAAAATAATCCTGAGGATAAACAAGTGGTGAAAAAAGGATGATTAAATATTAAATGCTTGAATAATTGAATATTATATGTTCTTTACTATTCATTAAAATATATATGGTAAAAAAAGGAAATATTTTTAACATTTAGAAAATATGTATGTAATAAAAACAGTGAAATTTTTCTTCATAAATCAATATAGAAGATTTTATCTGAAAACAAAAGTTTAAGATATTAAATTTTCTTGAAAAAAAATTACAAATTAAATTTTACTTTAATAAGATAAATTAATTTGAAATATATTTAATAAAAGTAATTTTAAAGAATTAATCCTAAGTAAGTATAACTTCTAAGTGTTCATTAACAATTTAATAGAACTAAACGCTTGAATTTATATAATTAATTTTATGTGTATTTTATTCGTATTAGATTTGATTAAAAGCTTATGCTTTAACCAGAAAAAACTATTTCAATTTACCTTAAACATTGAATTAGCTTTAAAGAATTAATAAGTTAATTCAATCTGTACTTTTCAATTTAGTGTAGTTTAAGAAATTTAACAATAATCAAGCTATTCATATTTTTAATTGATAAGCTCAAATTTTCATAAAACTCTTCACCTATGTTTGCACATTTTTCTAAGCTAACATTTAATTCTTTCAAATTTACTAAGAACTACAAATCAGAAGCCATTGACTCTAGGCTTTAAGCTGAGAGATTTTTGCAGTCATCTAAAATAATACAAAGCTACTAAAGGTAATTTCTATTTTTAGTTTAGAAACCAAATGGGCCATCAACTAAATTACTGGAACTCAATAAATTATAATATAGATTCTATAGGCTATGCAATTACGAAATGCTATTTCCTAATTATTAAATATTTTTAATTTCTTAGATATCTCCAAAATCAAATTATAGACTTTTTACAAATTCACACTATGAAATAGAATCTCCTAATATACTGATTGATTAATCATTTATATTACAGCTATATACATCTATGGTTAAATTATTTAATTATTTTAGGTTTTAAAAAACTTAAAACAATTTATTAATTTCATTTGTTTTTATTTTCTTGCAGCCTCCTAAATTCAAAGATAGAACGTTTAAATGGGATAAACCCAATAAAGTTTCAGTTAATCCATCAAGACTTTCTATATTTGATAAATAGTGAAATGACAGATCTAATTCTTTAAGCTACAGCTTATTTCTCAAACTATTGCTTAAATAATCTACGCTTTCTTAAGTTATTTATTTATTCCATCCCATTTGAAAGCAGAATCTTTTCAGAATTTCATTTTTAGAAATAATTTGACACAATTCAAGAACATATTCATTTTTTAAATTAGTACAAAAGTAAAAATCAAGTAAAACATCTTTTAGATTACTTTATATTTAAAAACATTTAGCAATCTATGATAGAGATTCTTCTTCTAAATCATTACAATACCTAAACATAAGGCAGAGTGAATTGAGGTTTTTAATCTAACTTAAAAATTCATATAAACCTTTAATTTGTTTTAAATCTTAATGGTCCATATATTATATGTAAATTCTTTTCAAGTTTGAAAACCTAGAAATTTAGCTACAATACAAAGAAAAATCAACTAACTCTAATCCAGTATTTTTATTAAATAATTTTATTTCCTTGCTAAAGTAAGCTTCTTATGAATTAATTCTCATTAAATCTTCAAGGCTAGTTATTTCCAGATAATTTTGTTTTTTATCATCCATTTTTAAAATTAAATAGTTAGTTTTTCTTTTTAATCAAATTACTTAATCTATCTATAATGCTTTGCAAAAAATGATCACCTATCAAATCTCAAAAAAATAGATATTTTCTATTTTTATTTGTCATATTAATGTAATGACGAAGACTTCAATTTTATTTTTTATTAATGCAGAAAAATCTTCAAAACACTTTAAATTCTGTTTTAAGTAAAATTTAGTTTATTAAGTATTTTAAAAATTTTTTTTGTTTTATAAAAATAAAATTTGCTTAACTTAAAATTAATAACCTTTATTTAGAATAATATATATGACTTTGAAAAATATAGTGATATGGAATCACTAAAAAAACAATACAATAACATTAGATAATTCACATATTTGGAACAAAATTTTATGCATCCCTGCCTAAAATAGATCGGATAAATTATAGTAAAGATTAATCATTAAACTAATTAAATTAATAAGAAAGAATATTAGAATAATACAATAAATGTCTATTAGCATAATAATAATAAATGTTTAATATAGAAACTTAACTAATAAATATAGCAAGATTCCATTCAAAAATTCCGTCGTTTGGTATTAAATTATAATGAAATAGATTTTTTAATTATTTATTAAAAAATCAGATTTTTATATTTTATAATAGAATTAAAATTAATATTTTAATTTATTATAATTTCAAAAATACATAATTTTTTTACATCAAAATTTTTAAATTCAACAAAAATATAAATTTTTTATTAATTAAAAATTTTTATTTTTTTTTCTTTTAATTTTATATTAATATTATTATTACATGTTTAAATTTATATGCAATCAGTTTTTTATCATATATTGTCATTATGTATTAATGTATGTATGTATGTATGTATGTATGTATGTATGTATGTATGTAAGTAAGATTATTTTTCATTTTAAATCTATTTTAAATGTATTTTTAATTTTAATAATTTATATAAGCATGTTCTAATTAAGAAAATAATTGCGATAATCATCCATAGAATATTATTACAAATAATTATCTATTCTCTTATTCTTTTAGTAAGGACATAAATACTAAATCTAAGCAAGCATATTTGTATTATAAATAATTTTTAATTTAAATGAAAAAGAATATATTTTGATTTATAAATTAAAATAAATATTATCAAATAAATTATAAATTTCTAATTTATCAAAAAATTCCTTCATTTAAAAGTTTAAATTTTTTTAAATAAAATAATAAACTAATTATTATAAATGCAAGCTATTGAAATTTATTTTTTATTTAAAGTTAATTACAAAGGATTTACTAATATTTTCAAATACTTAATAAAAAAAGTTGCTTATTCTTTTACTTCCTAAACTTTATTCATCCTAGTACTAATTCAAATTAAGATACTTGGATTCAGAGTTCGAATGCGAACAATATGTTTACCTTAATATGGTAGACAAAAAAAATTTTAAATTATTCAATTTATTTTCTTTAAAAAAATAGAAGATAAACTTTAAGGAAATAATATATTTTTTTCATTTTAAATTTATTAGTAAAAATAAAACAGGTTGTCGACACTGGGACTTCCCAAGCGGTCCCCCACCTTAGTACTAACCCAGCCTTAAGGCGCTTAAATTCGGAGTTCGAATGGGATCCGGTGTTTTCACCTTAGTATGGCCGACAACAAAACTAATTACAAATAATAACTATTTATATTTTCAATAATAATTTTTCAAATAAAACTATTTATTTAAAATAATAGATTTTTTTTTAATTTTTAATTTAAAATAGATTTAATTAGTTATATAAAAAAGGTTATCGACATTGGGACTTCCCAAGCGGTTCCCCACCTTAGTACTAACCCAGCCTTAAGGCGCTTAACTTCGGAGTTCGAATTGGATCTTAGTACTAACCCAGCCATAAGGCGCTTTACTTCGGAGTTCGAATGGAATCCGGGGTTTTCACCTTATTATGGTAGACAACAAAACATATTCTAAAGAATGACTATTAATAACTGAAAATTTTTTACTTAGTAATTTTAAAATAATATTTAAAAAAATAATAGATTTAAACTAAATTATTATATTAAAAATATTTATTATTAAAAATAAAAAAGGTTGTCGGAGGGGGAGGGGTCGCAGGTGGGTCTCAACGTCTATATATCCAATGAAGAAGCCTTTAGGTGGGACTCCATTCATATTGTATAAAAGAATATTTATACAATTTCTTTTCCTTTCTGAGATAATGAAAGGTGAAAAAATTTTTATTTAAGGGGGTGTATGTTTTTATTTGCTTTGATTAATAGATTATTAATTGATAAATAGTCAAAAAATTAATCAATCAATCAAAGCAAATAAATAAATCAATTAATTAAAAGATGTAAAGAGTGATAACCCTCTAGGGGTAATACCTTACCTTAGATGAGCAGATGGTGGCCTCTCATGACAATGAGAGGTGCATCGAGTTGCTCAGGTAAGAGTAGCTCCTCAAACATGGCCCCCAATTTATCTGCTCCTCCTAGAACTGCTCAAGGCTTAGTTAACCTATGAGTGAGGTTCAGGACAAAGCCGGATAGACGGCAGAGTATTTCGCTGCCCAGGATGCTTGCAGAAGTAGTCTATCCGCTCTGATTCTATCTTTACAGGTACTAGAACTCTCCTGCTCTCGATATATAGATGCATTTTTATAGCATTCCTTGAAAATACATCTATCGTTCGAGCATAGGAGATGTGTCTTCTGCCCAAGACAGTAAAGCGGATTTACCGCTTCTGCAAGCACCCAGGTGTCGCAGCATTTGGTGTGGCTGCAGGAGAGAGA